GTTCTGCCTCCAAGCCCGCCCCCAAATCTCTCATCCAAATCCCACCCACAGGAACACACACACAGACACACGCACTGATACAAAAAGGACACACACACATACATACTAGCAGACACATACTGAAACAGACATACACACATGCAGGCATACATACTGACACACATATGTAAAACAGACACACAGACATAAATAGTGACACACAGACAAATACATACATACATACATACATACACACATATATACTGACAGACATACATACACATACTGAGACATACACATACACTGACATACATACACACACATATATACAGAGAAAGAGAACGGACTGAAAGTCCAAATAAGAGAATAACAGTTAAAAAAGGAAACCCTACCTTTAATAAACCTAAGGGAAACAATAAAGGAAATAGACCAAAAAGAGGAAGGGACGGGCTAGAAAGGCTGCATTAATGTCTATGTAAAAGACATATAGTAGGGGCAAATAGACACCGAAAGATCTGGGTAGAGAATCAGCTAAAAAAGCAGAAAAAATGCCAAACTGCCTACACAGAGGAGCAGGAGTAAACAGAGGTAATAGAATAGGTACGAAAAAAACAAATAAAAAGGGGAACCCCACTCAAAATCTCCCAAAGCCAATTGCTAAAGTAAGGCAAGGCTGTCCGTATAGTACCTCAGGACAGAGGTTCAGGTAGGCATTAGTGGGTTATCCACGGTGCCGAGGTACTATAGGGACAGCCTTGCCTTACTTTAGCAATTGGCTTTGGGGGATTTTTTTACCTCTGTTTACTCCTGCTCCTCTGTGTAGGCAGTTTGGCATTTTTTCAGCTTTTTTAGCTGATTCTCTACCCAGATCTTTCGGTGTCTATTTGCCCCTACTATATGTCTTTTACATAGACATTAATGCAGCCTTTCTAGCCTGTCCCTTCCTCTTTTTGGTCTATTTCCTTTATTGTTTCCCTTAGGTTTATTAAAGGACCACCATAGTGCCAGGAAAACACACTCATTTTCCTGGCACTATAATGCCCTGAGGATCCCACTCCCACCTGGCTCTATGGGGAGGAAGGGGGTTAAACACTCACCTTTCTCCAGCGCTGGGCTCCCTTGGCTCTGGGGACTCTCCTCCTCCTTTCCTGTCATCGGCTGAATGCGCATGCATGGCAAGAGCCGAGTGCGCATTCAGTCAGTCCATAGGAAAGCATTTCTCAATGCTTTCCTATGGACGCGTGCGTCTTCTCACTGTGAAAATCACAGTGAGAATCACGGAGGCACCTCTAGCGGCTGTCAATGAGACAGCCACTAGAGGCTGGATTAACCCTATTGTAAACATAGCAGTTTCTCTGAAACACATACTTTTCACCGAAAGCCAGTGAGATTGAAAAAAGAACTTAAAACCTTATCTGTAAGAAGACAATGTGAATGTGTTTCGGACCAAAACAAAGAAGAAGAAGAGGATATTTTAGTTAACTCGGCTCACAGTATTGTTATAACTTCTCTGTGTACGGAAGGTGTGACCTCTGAGATCCAGATCTCTAACGCAGTATAAGAAAAGAAAAAAAAAAGGAAAATAATCTTTTGAACATTCCACAAAAAGGCTGTGGATACCACTAAATGTAACAATCGTCCATTAATAATTGTATCGATCCAACGTGGGCTGCACAATGAATGTCACCACTCTGCAGTTCTGAGACAAAATTCTGCAACAAAGGCTCTAAGAGAAGATGAGATTAGATGAGACAGCATTTAAAGGGACATGCTAGACTCCCAAAGCACTTCAGCTTGAATAACTCATTAAATGTATGGGACAAGGCCAGCCTTATTTCTTCTAGTGCCCTGGGGCAAAACACTTCCATTATTATTTATAATTATCAATTAATTTTAATAGATGTAAAAGCCACTTATGACATACTACAATTTAAAATTATTTAACCCCTTTGTGACTGAGCCTTTTTAAAAATATTGTGCATTTGTGACTGGAGCCTTTTTGACTTTGGCTTGGTTCCACTGTAATTTAATGCCTATCCCTAAAGCAAACACAATATATATATCACTGTTTAGTAGATATACCCCAAATAAAAACATGCATTAATTTAATTATGCATTTTTTTCATTTGGGAATATCTAAACCAGCTTGCAAAAGTTGCAGTTCTCTTGACTGCTGCCTCTGTAAACCTTCCCTATCTAACCCTGAATAGACTCTCTGTGGCTGTCTAATCTCAGACTTCCCATTGCAGCTCGATGAGAAGTCTTTGCAAGGCAGATGTTCTGGGAAATTACCTGCTAATTATGCACTTTTTCATTTATCTAAAAATAGCTTGCAAAAACTATAGATCTCGTCTGCTGCATCTGCAAGCCCACTTTATGTGGCTGTCCAATCATAGACTTCCCAATGTAGCTCAATGTGAAGTCTGTGCAAGACAGGCAATTGCCTGCCTCTTGAGTGTAGCTCCACTGAACTAACCAAACCAGGAAGTAACAGGACTGGTTGTCTGATTGACAGTCAGGGGGGTGTAACCAGGTTAATTTATAAAAGTGCCAATTTCTATTACATTCTGCACTTTTTGAAAACAAAGAAAAAAAAAGACAAACTCCACACGTAAAGCATTTTTTTTTTTAACAAGGTAAAGTTCTTCAGGGGACTGGAGTGTCCCTTTAAGTGCACCCATAAATATTACATACTGATTTTTAAAGGACAGATAGGGCTTTCTTCTGTAACACTATAGGTATGCATAGCACAACATTACATATAAATAAAATACTAAAAATAATTAAATAAAAATATGATGGAAAAATGAATATATTTATATCTGCATCACTGGACTAATATGTTTACAATCTATTCTCTCTCTCTCTCTATATATATATATATATATATATATATATTTATTCGTATTCCCATATTTGTATTTTGCCTTTTAGTTTAGCAATATCTCCCAGATTTTTGAGAAGTTAGAGGGTCAAAGCAAAGGGACAAAATGTCCTTTCTGAGATACAGTAGTAGCCTCTTACACTTTACTGCCATTATGGTATAGCATTAGCAAAAGAAGACATATTGGACCTTTAATATAGGGCCATTTGAGTATTTTCGCATGGTTGTTCTATCACCATTTTTTACAAAATTTAGAGGAATGTAAAAAAAAAAAAATTTTATTTTCACATACATATTAAACTTTAACGACTTTAATTTTTCTAAATTCCACGGGCTTATTTGTACTACCACTCAAGATGTGTGGAGAATGTTTAGGATTAAATGAGAGGTAGACAGTTGATCCCATGCACTGCTGCAGTGGGTCATCAGCTTTCAGTCACGACATAGGACTACTGTGATTGGCTACCAAACATTTGGATGACATATGGGAGGTGGTCTAATAATAAAAAGTTAATGTTGCAATTGCTGTGATTGTTGTATTCATACTGGAAGTCCGCCTTGCTGCCAGTGCATGATGGGCATACCTTGCCTTGGGGGACCTCCACATCACTTTTTCTGTGATGTGTCATTACTAAGATATCAAGAAATAGTCCCCATCTAGTTGATGTGGCATTGTGTGAGAACTTTAAATGGCCTCCATACAGCCCCCCTCAGCTGTTTTGAAGAGCATAGGAGGCAATTGTGTATCCTATATGGCGGATATCACAAAGGGGTTAAAGGTCACTGTTAACATCTTAAGTGGCTTATAAAACAAACAAAAAAATATATATGTAGTTTGTGAACAAATATATCAGTGCGCAAAATCATGGCTTCTGTGTTGTGAATGCATGTGACAATTCCGATGTGTTCAATAATTGTGTATTGTGTGTGTAGTGTCAATGTGTGTGTCTGTTTGTAAACCTGTGTGTGCACACAATCTCAACAGTGTACTTATACTTGTGTCCGTTTGTGTGTAATATCAGTATGCAATTATACTGGTATGTGTGTAATATCAGTAATTATACCTGTGTCTCTGTGTAATATCAGTATGTAACTATATTGGTGTGTGTAATATCAGCAATTATACACGTGTTTGTAATTTCAGTACAGACTGGTGTGTCTGTGTAATATCAGTATGTCATTATGCTGGTGTGTGTCCCACTTGTGAGCATTACCATCTACGGCACACATGCATCTATCTCCATTTCTTCCACATTTGCCTTTCTACGCAGCTCCCCCCGTCCCCCCTTCCACTCTCCCCTCCCACAGATTGGCATTTGAACCCCTGCTACTGGATGGTTTACAATACAGAGTTTATCAGTCCTTGTATGACCCTTCAGTCATTCATTTAACATGGTGAATAGAGTAAGGAGCACCACCATAAATCTTTATATATATGAAAAAATCTTTATTAAATGGGTATATACTATAGGACTGTCTCTTTAAATATTATCCACAGAGGTACAAAGTCATGCTATTCAAAAGCATTTACCAGAAAAGCAATGATATAGGCAAATATAAACGCTCAATGCGTAATAAATGAATGAAAGAAATATCATGCAAACAGTCCACTATAATACTAGTATAATGAAAACCCAGACATATAAAAAAATTGCAGCAAACCATACCAAATTCAGTGAGAAGTAGGGACAGAGTCAATCAAAAAAAAAACAACGTTTCGGCTGAAAAGCCTTTGTCAAGGCTCCCTTGACATTTGCATTATTCATTTAACATGGACCTGGCATGGTCTCACTTTGTAGATTACTTTGAGATAAAAACAGCACATTTATAGTCAAAGGGACACTATAGTCACCAGAACAACTACAGCTTATTGCATTTGTTCTGGTGAGTATAATCATTCACTTCAGGCTTTCAGCAGTAAACACAGTCTTTTCAGAGAAAATGCAGTGTTTATGTTACAGCTTATGGATAATTTCACTGGCCACTTCATAGATGGCTGCTACAGGTGCTTACTGGAGCAGTCCTACCTAGTATGCATCACAACATTCAGTGCCTCCACCCTTTGCATGAAGACACTGAACTTTCCTCATTGAGATGCACTGATTCAAGGCATCTCTATGAGGAGATGCTGATTGGTCATGGCTGTGCCCTTGATATGCTTCCTTGACAGTCTCAGCCAATCCTATGTGAAAGCATTGTGATTGGCTCAGAGAATCACTTCTGATTAGGTCAGCCAAGCAGGCAGATCAGGGGCAGAGGCAGCAGCTTCAGACTTGAATAAAAGGACAATTTTACTATATTTAGGGGGAGGGGGCAGATGGTGGTTTTAACACTATAGGGTCAGAAATACATGTTTGTGTTACTGACCCTATAGTGTTCCTTTAAATCTAAAAAATAAAGTCTTAATTTTCTCAAATATTTATCACTAGTTTCTTACTCTTAAACATGTCAAAAAGGCTATATATCCAAAGAAACCTCCTATCATTCAACCTATCCAAGCTGGCAGAGGAAAACCAGGAAACGTATCATATAAAATTATCAAAACATCAACTTTTGACAACCAGTAACTTCAAAACAGGAATAATTGTAGTTTTTTTAAATAAAGCCTATACTTTTTTTTGTTAAATATAAATCTAACGTTTTTTTCCTCCAAATTAGGATTGTGGAAAGCTGACAAAAAGGAATACCAAATTTTAGTAAAATAGCACATTTAAAGAAATATTCCACTCCTAGTTTTCTAGCTTGGCTATTTTAGCCTTAAGTCATTAGTTCTCTAGATCCCTAGTTTAGTGAATTATAGTAAACTGAAAAATGAATTGCAAAATTCAGTCAAGAAATACTGATAATAGACATTTGTCCATTTCAGCTTTGGTCACAGTGTGACTATTAATGCCTGGATTTCTCTGTTTGGGAATTCAATTCACTACAATACAATACTTAGAATATTTAATTGTGACATGCTATACAATGATTTTTAAAGAAATTTGTTTAAGGTATCTTAAACAAACAGAATGACTGAACACAAAAACGTGAAATCATTAATATTACTTATCGTTAATATAGACGTCTCATCCAGATTACATTCTATTTACTGCTAAATGCCATTTTCTGCACTTAAATGCCAACCAGCATTTCATTAAGCACCTAGAAAGGAAAGGTTATAACATTTACCAAAGGATTTGAGCCAACTCTCACATCTTTTGTTACTACTTTGAAAGCACATTATACCATGAACACAATGAAATGTGTAAAGGGCTTCCAAGAGAATATTTAATGTTTTACATTAATTCTCGATTGGTCATTGAAGCTCAGTCAACCAGATGCTTTCTGCGTTATCGGAATAATCTTCATTTGTTTATGTGGTTAACATGGTTACTATTTACTTTGATGTCTAACTAAAAGACTAGTACGGAACACATACATGTATTATTTGTCATGTGCTGCTTTTTCTCTTCTCAATGGGTAAATCTAGTATCCCTGTAAGCACTGGCAATCTTAAAGGGACAGCCCAGACCTCTAAAGCACTTTAACTCGCTGACATGTGTGAAGTGTGCGTCCTCTTCTTATATTTTACTAAAAGTGCAGATTTCAATAAAAATTGGCAATTTTATAAAATTATTTGGTTACACACCTCTGACTGTCCATCAGACAGCAGGTTCTGTTAGTTACTGGTTTGTTTAGCTCAATATTAGATATTCCGCCAGTGAAAAAAAATGCATTATTAAATGTTCCACTTCTTTAGTAGCCCCCAGACTGACAGATGAACGGTATGCAGCTCTTTAATTCGGGATTTAAATGTATCAACAGATACCTTGGGCTCCCTGCTCTCAGCTAGGGCCATTTTTAGTGGTCCCAAGACTGACAAATGCACTATATGCAGTGTTCACAAATTAATTTAGTTTCAAGACATGAGGCATTTATTTTGAGCTCTTTTTATTTAGTTGCACTTTTCTCTTTCCCCCCCAATTTGAGATTTAAAAATAAAAAGGATATTCATGTCCTTTAAAAACAATATATAATATGCATGGGGGCAAAGACATACCCTTGGATAATGGTTGAACAAACACATTTAGGATTTGGTTTGGTTCAGAACTTGGACAATTGTGTCCTTATGGGGTTAACAAGATGGGCTGATTCATTCATGAGATGTCAGTGTGGGCTTTAACCCCTTAAGGACCAAACGTCTGGAATAAAAGGGAATTATGACATGTCACGTTTCCTTAAGGGGTTAAATCAATTGATAGATTAATAGAAGATTTAAAAAATAAAAAATAAATTTTTTTTTTTAACCAGTTTGTGCATGGTCACAGGGATTTGGAGGGCAATGTTCCAAAAGCAACTACACAAGGGGGGCTTTGTGCAAAGTTATTGGAACCAACATTTGATTTAGAGTTTGTTTCCTCTAATCTGAGCCTTATCCAGTTCTTCCCCTGTCTGTGAGGTATCAATCTATCTCCTTTAAGGCTTCCTTATTGAGTATTAGAACCACCAGATGGTTTGTAATGGTTTTTAATAACTAAAATCCACAGAGAAAATGACAATAACTATTAAGTAATTCACTGTTTGACGTTTGGACGTGTAGATATAACATTAATAAAAACACTGCACTATTGACCCTGGCAGGCTAAACAACTTTCTTTGGAAAATGGTTGTGCAACAATCTACTAATTTATTGAGAAATCTTTTTTTACATTCCTACTGCATGACAACAAGGGGTACCAAATGTCACCCTGTGTGTGTACTCCCTGGGATCAGGAACCTTGTGCTGCATCACTAAATAATTTGCTATCAGAGTTACTCCATGTGATTACACTGGGCAGGGATACAGAGAAGATACATAGCAATGGACTTTTTTATAGTAAAATAATGCCATCAAGGAGTTCTGGAGACATCATAATAAATAATAAACCACATGATGGAATGTCAAGATGACATTATTGCCCCCTAATACATGCTTTGTGGCTATGAAACTTTAATGCCAAATTATATATTTTTAGTTATGGTTAGGGGTACATACATCCTCCATTTAGCCCTTACATTACCCCCAACCCTTACTACCGGGATTCTAGAGACAGGTGTTAATCACTCAATCTTTGGTCTCATGGCATGTCGTTAGCCTTATTTTCCTACTATAGATGGTTCACCACTATGTAACCTCTCTCACGATGTTAAGATTCACAATTACTTTAGTCAGACCCAGATCACAACTGCAAAAAGATAACTGTCACAGTTGGAAGCTTTGAGTTTTTTGGGGGAAAAATTTACATTTAAACAAGTTTAAACTTAAAGTTTGGTGTGTAAATGTAAGTTAATTATTATTTTATTATTTATATAGTGCCATCAGATTCCGTAGCGTTGTACAATGGCATAGTCTATTCAGAGAGTGAACACAAGCTATTATAGACAAAATAAAAAGGGAAATAGTGGGTAGGCGCTTCACTGAAATATATGGCAATAGAGTATGTAACAAAAATACAAAACAAAACGGTGTAACCGGTATATAGGTGCTTCCCTTTTACACCAGATGTCAATATAACAAAATATGAGAATATAAATATACCAGTGTGTACACCTCCCCAGTGTCACTCTAATAAATTGGATAACATTACCAATTATTGAGTTTGATGGAGATATACGGCTAGAACAAAAAAACTAAACAAAAACAAACAAAAAAACCACAGTGTGAACTGTATAATAGTATAAAATATGAAATAAAATCGGGAATTCCGACTCACATTCTCCGTACCAGGCTCTGTATATCAGGCTCATAGGTGCCAAGTGCTGGCTAACGATCCAAACGATGTAGGTAGATGAGACTTTAATTTGAGGTGAAAAATAGTAATTTATTGTAAAAAGTTTATGTATATATATATAAAAAAAATATATACTACGGGGGTGGAACACAACACAAAAACTAGTATAGTAGAGTTAGAGTTCCACTTACCCCTATGTACGGTAGCCCAGAGTAGATGAATACAATAAAACAACAAAATACAAATATATTCGATAAAAGCAGACGCGTCTGCTTTTATCGAATATATTTGTATTTTGTTGTTTTATTGTATTCATCTACTCTGATCTACCGTACATAGGGGTAAGTGGAACTCTAACTCTACTATACTAGTTTTTGTGTTGGGTTCCACCCCCATAGTGCCCTGTAGTATATTTTTTTATATATATACTTTTAACAATAAAAATTGCTATTTTTCACCTCAAATTGAAGTCTTATCTTCCTACATCGTTTGAATCGTTAGCCAGCACATATGAGCCTGATATACAGAGCCTGGTACGGCTCTGGAGAATGTGAGTGTGAATTCCACATTTTATACTATTATACAGTTCACACTATGTTCTTTTGTATTTTTTTTCTTTTGTTCTAGCCGTATATCTCCATCAAGCTCAATTATTGGTAGTATCCAATTTATTAGCATGACACTGGGGATGTGTACACACTGGTATATTTATATTATCATATTATAGAACAAAGTATAGGGTGGTTGGTTCAGAAATAGGATAATAGTGGATTATGGAAATTTATGCATGGAGCATAGATTAGATATAAAATATAGCGAGTTTGGACCCAAGCTAGGTAGTCAGGCTTGTAAGCTTTTGCTTAAAGGGACACTTTTGGCACTTTAACAACTTCTTCTTGAAGTTGTTATAGTGACTGCAGTCCTGTCTCCCAAAAAAACAATATTAAATTAATTAGACTTGGAAGCACGGCTTCCACCATGGTCGGCCAGAGAGAATAAGTGACTATAATGATTCCCTATTGTGGCGAGCACCGTACATGTGCCTACGTTCCCCAATGTCCTCTATGAGGGAGACACAGCCCTGGAGAGAAGGGGTGCAATATGATAAGGGGCAACAGGGCTGTAGCGATAGGAATTCAGATATGTATTTGTAACGCTACAGTGTTCAAGTCTGTGTACAAAATGTGAATAGAAGACTCCAAGTGAAAAAAAAGGATGGGTCACTAAACTTGTACATACTCTTGTTTTGCAGTAATCTGGGTTTACGTCCAGTCAACAATAATCAATAACTTAGCAAACCTCATAAGTTTCTTTAGAGTTTAATGTGTGATAAAAAACACACATAAGATTTCCCACCAGGTTTGTTAAAGGTGACATTGTAATGGGAAAACATATCACCCATTAAAAGAATGACTAATTGCACAAGCTAGCCATCCATCCATCCATCCAATCTTCCCTTGTGATACTTTTACCACGAGCCTTTATAAAGTTCATGGGTTTTTATATATATGGTAACTACCCATTAAATGTTTTTTTGTGTGTTTTTTTTTACCAAGAGACATTGTTTTCTAATTATAAAGATAGTTCTATAATAGGTAATGAATTGCAAAATAACCATGGACCCGATTTATTGTGTATTCTATTACTTGTATTGTGTAATTCAGTTGGATCCTGTAATGGTGACCATGGCTGTACAGAAAACAATCTGCGTTCCCAGCTACCGATCGTTTCAGAATGGATCATTGTAATAACGATTAAGGCATAAAATATTTCTACATTTAATTTCTGTTAAATGTAACCATTTATACAATCTTTTTATAGTATATGAAGAAAAAAAACCATACCTATCTAAGTACTGAGTATTTTTCACGGGCGGTCCATGAAATGTAATGCTCCCCTCAATCAAAATATGTTTTTAAAAAATAAAGAAAACGTGGATATTCCCTGCCATCCCTGTGGGCACATTTTCCCAGACAAGAGAAATGCTTGCTTAAAAAAAAAAAATCTCCATGTTAAAACCAGGCCAACAATCCATGCCAAGGTCCTACAAGGCACGTGAAGAAAACAAGATAATGTTGCAGTTGGATTGAGAGGGAATTTGTTGAGCTGCTTTTCCAAAACCCTTACTTTTATAGCAGCATGTTTCACCACAAATCACACTTTTTCTTGAAACTGTTCCTATGTCACCACAGAGCTAGCTCACACACATACAGAGACACAGCAGCTTGAGCAGCCAGAGACACAATTAGCCATTTCATTCGAAACACATTTTAGAAGAAATCCAAGAAGACTGGGTCATTGCCAAGAGATGGTCAGGAAGCTCCGGGGGAACACAATCACCAAGTAATTATTGATGTTGAATATCTGGATCATTGCTGGAGTTCTTGTACAAGAGAAAAACATATAAAGTGAGTATCATTAAACTTAATGATGTATTTTAATCAAACACATAGTATCCCTTCAACCATTGCTTAATAGAGTTGTTGAGACCATGCTGGATGTGAAGAAGTAGTAAAATATTGTAATATTAATGATATAGCATTATTGCCATATACCCACACAAGGCAGAGGGATGCCCTCTCCCTGATTCAATGTCAAAAGATGCCCATTCCTCAAATTGTGACATAGACCTTATAAGAAACAACTATTCCAGTTGCAGAAGATGCATACATCTGTTTGGAAAAGCTGCATTTCGTGAAGTTAAAATAATGCTCAGCAGATTGTTATTGGGCATGTGGTTAAGCACTCATGAGTTCATAACTTTACACCAACATTTCAAAGAAAAAATGTTGGTGTCCTGCAGCTATCCACAACCAAATGTTTATATAGAGGGGATTAAAACTTTACAAGCAGATCTGTGTAACTACAAAAGGTCCAGATATATGAACACAAACTATAAAAACCTCTTCTGACGGTACACAAGAACATGCAGCCCCACCTAGTGCCACTAGCAGGGGATGACAGCCAGTACTCCAGTAAGGGGTCCACAGCTGCTTACTGCCCCTTTGGACCCCAGGAACGACATGCTCATCCACTACAAAGGTAGGCAAAGAGGAGGGTGGCTAAAACTGAGCACATTTGGGTATAACATTTGACATATAAGTAGAAAGGGAAAGAAGCTGCACTCACGGTCTTCCATTAAAACTTCAAAATATTTATTGGGTATGCATTAAAACAGGGGTACTCAAACTACGGCCCGCCAGGGTCCTGAACCCGGCCCAAGGAACCAGGGCCACCTGCAGCCGTGCTGGGTGGAAGTGATGGCCGGTGGTCACTTCCTCCCAGCTCCCTCCGCGCGGGAGGGAAGAAAGACAGGCCGCGGGAGCCACGCCGACTCCCATCAGCCACAGCACATTTCTCCATTCTCTCTCTCCTGCTCCCACCCAATTTCATTCTAGTCCCCGCCCATATAACACCCATTCACACCTCGTCACTATAACTCCTCCTACTTCTAGCAGCTGGTGACGTTTCTCCCAAGCAAGGGCCCTCCACCTCGCGGCTTCCACTAAAACAACCAGAAACCACGCAAACCTCATCCAAATACCCTGCAGTTTATTCTCCTCTACCAACATTAAGTGTGCACTCTGGAAGGCCCGTTCCATCTGTAGCAATATTAAATTAACAGCCATCTTCATCCCTAATTCCCTCACACTATTAGCACTCACTGAGACCTGGCTGCCCCCCTCTGATACTGCTACTCCAGCTTCATGTTTCGGTGGACTACAATTCTCCCACACTCAACTGTAAAGACGGCGGTGTAGGCGTTCTTCTCTCCCCTCAATGTACCTTTCAACCTATCCTCCCTGCCCTATCCTTTACTTCCTTTGAAGTTCACACTGTCCGCATATTTAAGCCCACTCCTTTCAGAATTACCTTTATCTATCGCCCCCCCCCCCGTCATCCTAGGCTATTCATTGAACACTTTTCTTCCTTGCTAACCCACTTTCTCTCCTCTAGCACTCCTTCCCTCATACTTGGGGACTTTATCATCCCAATTAACAACCTCAACTGCCCTGATGCCTCCCGTCTGCTCTCCTTCGGCCTCACACAGTGGTCTACTTCAGCAACTCATACAGCCCCACCACCTGTTCCCTCGATCCTACTCCTTCGTATATCATCCGCACTTTGTCTCCCTCTCTTGCTCTCCCTTTTCTCTGGCACATTTTCTTTCATGCTTCAAGCATGCAACCATAACGCCAATGCTGAAAAAGCCCATCCTTGACCCCAACTTCCCCCGGGTTTGTTTTCCTGGCACTATAGGTTCCCTTTAAGATCCGGGTGCTTGTTTACAAGTCCCTACAAAATGCTGCTCCATCCTACCTATCCTACCTAATACACAAAAATGTCCCATCGAGGCCCCTGCGCTCTGCCGAAGACCTGGGTCTACCCTCTGTCTGTACTCCCACATTTGATGCTCGCCTCCAAAACTTCTCCAGGGCTGCACCTTTTCTGTGGAACTCCCTTCCCTTCTCCATTAGACTTTTACCCAGTCTCCACTCCTTCAAAAAATCTTTGAAAACACACTTCTTCAGGAAAGCATATCAATTAAACTGTTAGTGGGTTTCCATCTACCCCCATGACTCCTCTCCTGCAACTGTCAAAAATAACCTACTAAGTTCTCAGTGAATACTTTTCTAGCAACCTATTTCATTGCCCCTACTTACCCTTTGTGTCACTATTCTCCACTCCCTCTAGCATGTAAGCTCATTGAGCATGGCCCTCAAACCCTCTGTTCCTGTGCATCCATTTGTCTGGTAGTCCACCCATTGTACAGCTCTACGGAATTTGCTGGCGCTATATAAATAAAATAATAATAATTACTAAATTTCAGAAAAGAAAATTATGGTTTTGGAATCTGAGCAAACATATGCCAAATCTAAAATATCAATTTTTTTCATGAATTGCTTGTTAGCAGATTTAGTTTGCAGAGTGAACAATATGTACTAAAAATTGCAGCACAAACAAATAAATAAAACTATTTAGCTGTATACTAGAAAATAAAATTCACTAAGTGTAAATAAAAAACAAACAAAAAACAAACAAACAAACAAACAAACAAACAAACAGGATTTGGAAACAGATGAAAGCCCCTTGACTAGATCCATTATAAAAATACCCTTTATTTAGATTTCCTGAGGGCATAACATAGTTGGAGAGGAGTATTCTTATATGATCTATGTATTACATATAATTATATTCTAAAAATTGAATAGTATTTATCTAGCTCTCAAATACCAAAACAAGAAGAAAATAAAAGTTTTCCATATGTACATTTTGAATCACTTGCGAATTTAATTAAAAAACAAAACAAAACAAAAACGTATAACAAGATTTTAATGCAGACATCTTCCAGGATCTATTGCATGAAGAGGATACTAAACGCCATCACCACACAGCATACAGCAACATAGGGACTTTTTCGTTCACCTTGGGAAAGAAAGTATAGTTAAAATGAATAATACATTGAAAAATGAGAATGTCACAGAGTCTGCCAAACACAAAACCCTAAAGAACATACTCTCACCAAGAGTTTCCCCAGGGAGGAATGTGCAAAGACATTCTTAACTACCATACATTTTCTTTAAAGGAACACTAACACAAAAACACAAACTATACTTAAAAGCACCTGAATTCTGAGTTCTAATGTTATAGTATTGACTACCTTCACTGCCCCCATATGATGACCGTCTCTCCCTTACTGTGTCTCTGAATACTGAAACACAGTTTTGGCATGTGTAGGCCAATTTCAAAAATCCATCACATACATTTATACATTTCATTTTTGTATATGGCAGCAAGTCAATCAATGTAGTATTACAGCAACATTGAATGAGCCAAACAATGACTGAATTAAGGGAGTGGAAAAAGGCAAGACATTTTAAAAGTGTGTGGGAGGAGGTGGAGGGGGAGAAATGAGAGGTAACAACACACTGATAAAAATATCTGTGAAACTGAAAACTTAAAGGAAGAAGGAACATTAACATATGGGTTTTTATATTTTAAACGCTTAACTTTTTTTTGGATACAGTGTACATTGTATTGAAAAAATATAAATACAAAGACATTTTTGAATATGTCTTCTTTAGGAATCCCAGGCATCTTTAACATTCCTGATCTTTTTACTAGAAGATAATTGAATAATCTGTAGCTTCCAGGTTGCCAGGGAATTGCAAGGACAGGAAAGGAAACTACTGGTGTATACGATGTGTCAACCAAACTGATAGTAGGGCTAAAGATGAACGTTTATTCTATTTAAACAAGGTGCCTAGAGGGGTATCAGCTGTACCTCGCCAACTATGCCTAAAAAGGTTGAAACTATTGTCTGGGGTTGCTATATCTCTCATGCAGATAGAGCCGACCTGCGTTTTGGATTTAATCCGCCCTTTTGAGTGGGATCAGTCTGATATGCAAATGACCTGTTTTTTTTGTGTAATGGCACAAGATGAGCTAAAACCAGCTTGAGATCTGAGTGGGGACCCACCGAAGGGCAGGCTATTTGAGCCATTGTCCGTTCTGGGTTTTTTAAAATCTATTTAAAGGAACATCACACACCTAAAGTGATTGCGAAGTGCTTTATATGTGAAGGGCGTATTCTCGTATCCTTTTACAAATTTTTTTGCACTTTTATAAATTAAGCAATAAATAAATAAAGCAGCACAAAAGATATTTGTAACTTTTGCAAGCTTTTTTTTTTTTTTTTAGATATACTTCCAATAAAAAAATGAAAAACATTAAATTCATGCACGCTTTAATTGGGGATACATATACTACATAGTGTTTTGCAGTGGAGTGTCCCTTTAAAGATGCAAGATTACAGTTCTATAATACCCACAAATCCTAGCACATGCTACCATTTTGCAAAGTGTGTGCAACATTCTGCAATTTATTATTTAGTCTTCAATACTTAATAAAGAAAATGGTGTAAACGTTCCTTATTGCTAGACCCATGTTAATTAGCAGAACAATAGTACAGGCAAAACAGATTATAAGGCTTGAATTTGGGACCTAACATTAACATCTGTCAAAAAATAAAGATACAATCCTACAAAGTTCTGCATCTTCACAGCCAAAAGAGATGATCAGTAGCTGCAAAAGGGAGTAGGCTCCACCACCTCTGTCCTCTTTTGGAGGGTAATAAATATGGTTGTGGCTTACAACTGCTGTGATTTTTACAAAATTGCTGCAGTTATGTAATTTATTCTCAGAAATTAGAAAGGGTGCAAGGGACGCTCTCCAAGATGACCTTGGCAGTCACAGAAAATTGCTTTAAAATAGAGTGTTCCTTTAAAGGAAATGGAAGATAGTCGATATGGAAGATTTTTTTACGCATCTGCTATTTTGCATTTTGGCTTAAAATTCATTACAACACTTCTAATTTTAATATATTGAGAAATTAATGCTTTTGAGATTTCTGCAAAAACAGAGTATTATATTGTTTACCAACACTTACCAATTCGTGCACATTTCCAAAAGATTCCAAGGACTCTGCAAAAGAAACATAAAACTTGTATAGTCAACATTGGGACATTTCTATGACATAATGCTTAAATGTTCACAGCACAGCAACAAAGTAACAGAAAAGCAGAGCCTGTAAACAATACCAGAGACTTGTGTAAAGTATTGTGTAAATGAATCATGAAGAAAAGCCATAGGAAGATATAAGGTAGAACAAAAAGTCAGCTTGAACCGGTCATACTGAAAAAATAAAAATAGTTATTCTTATAAAAGTACAATAATTACCTTGCAGGGTTAACTCCTCCTCTAGTGGCTGTGTAATAGACAGCCACTAGAGGGCACTTCCATGATTATAGCACACGAAAAGTGTGCTATAGCGTTGCTGGACATCCTCACGCTATGCATGAGGACCTCCAGCGTCGCCGGAATCCCCATAGGAAAGCATTGAATAATGATTTCCTATAAGGAGGTCTAATGCGCGTGCGTGGCCATTGCCGTGCATGCGCACTAGGTCTCCCCCACTGGCTGACGTCTGTGGGGGGAGGAGCGTGGGCTGAGCCTGACCCAGCGCCAAGGGACATTGGCGCTGGATTCAGGTAAGTCACTGAAGGGGTTTTAACCCCCTTCAACAACATGGAATGGGGGGTGGGAGGGAGAGGGGCACTGCAGAGTTCTGCAGTGCCGGGAAAACTGATGTTTTCCTGGCACTGGAGAGTCCCTTTAAAGGAACACTATAGTGTAAAAACATATTCCTACAGCTCTAGAGTTATACTAACAATTTAGATTATTATATGCTCCCCCCACCCACTAATGAAAATAAAGGATTTTACTTACCTTTATTCCCCCGCCATGCACATCTCACTGTGGTTGACCCACCTCCGCTGGTTGAGATCAATCTTGATCATCTAAGCCAGGGGTTCCCAATGAATTTTTCCAGTGGAACCCTTTGACATAGTGTATCAGACAATTTTACGCAGTTACATAAACCTTTTTTTATATGTGCCGGTGTGTGTGTATATGTATCTGACACACGGATACATACACCTTGACACACAGATACACACACCTTGACAAGCAGTGTGTATGTAAGCAGTGTGTATGTATGTATCTGTGTGTCTATCGGTGTTTGTATGTGCCTATGTGTGTATCTGACACACACACACACTGGCACATAGTGGCACACAGATACACACACAATGTGTGTCAAGGTGTGTGTGTGTGTGTGTGTATGTATCTGACACACATACACACTGGCACAGTGATACACACACACACAGACAGATACACACACCTTGACACACACACAGACAGATACACTGACACACACAGACACAAACTGGGACACACACTGACACAGGTACACATACACATGTTTAACTTACCCTTTTTTCTTCCTTCAGTGCTGCAGGCTGAGGATGGTGTGCCAGGTCGGCAGCTGCTCCCTCCCTGCTGTGCTCCCACTCCCTCCAGCTGGTGCACTCTGTCTGGGAGTAAGTGCTGTCATGTCCCCCCAGCATCCCATACAACAGCAGTATTTGATGCCCGCGGCGCCTGACCGGACCCCTGTTTAGCAATACCCATCGGGTGGCCCTAAATGCTTGGGCCCCCTGAGGGCAAATCGCAGCGGAATCCCAATTTTGTTCACGTGGAACCCTAGGGCTCCTCAGAGCTATTTGGGAAACGCTGATCTAAGCTAATCTAATGCACCATTAGAAGGCTAGTGTAAATGCACAGCAAATTACCATACTAATAGAGAGTCATAGATTCAATGCATCTCTATAGAAAGAGGTCAGCATCTACATGCAGAGTTGGAACAGATCAATTTTTGCAGAACCAAATCCAGGAAGTCCGTGCAGTGTCTCTGATGGAGTGACAGCCACCAGACGTGGCATTTGGCAGCAATGTAAACATTGCCTTCTCTCAGTAAAGTCAGCATTTATACTGCTCAGCCTATTTCCCCCCCATAATCACTACAATATAATATAGGCACTAGAGCCTTAACAGCTTACTTTGTCTCCTGACACAGCTGTTAAAGGGAAACTATAGGCCCTATAGTGCCCATTTAACACCTGTGTCAGGAGACAAAATTGGGTGACCATACCATTGCAGTGGCCCCAAACGGATCGCTTAGGGACATCATATTTATCATGGATCCAGCAACTACCATAACAAATTGCTTTCACTGCCTTCCCTTTTCACCATTGGGAAGAGTCGAAGTTGTATTGCAGAGTTTATCTTGTTGTATACTACATTACACAGAGTCTTATAGTTTTTTTCTCTTCTCCTACTGAAGAATGGATTTTCAAGCTAATGTCATGTACATAATTATACTTAAATATCTGCTGAGACTGGTTGAAATGCAAATATATTTAGGCGGTAATAAGACAAGTGTTCAAGTGTTTTAACAAGATGAAAGTGGAAATTATTCTTGACAGTCTTCATAAAGACAATGATATGGATCAAAAGAGATTTTCTGAGAACCATTTTTTCCAAGTTCCCATATGTAATGGAAAATTGCGTGCGAGCACACACACATTAAGTGGGTTATTAAAAATCACTGCACTATATTGGTTGCTACCCATTATCCAGAGCTGAAATTATTCTGGTCAGGGTTTCAACCGTTGGAGTTATTGATTTTATCAGGATCTTGTTTTGTGTGTTAATCCGTAAGATACATGGCAGGTTTAATGCCTGAATCGCATCTGAAATCGTGGATAAATATGCATGTACTGTCATGAACACTTTGGACAAAAAAAAAACAAAAAAAATTGTGCATAGGATTTATTTATAGAATTCTGTGATCCAAGAACACTACATTTATTTATAGTAATTAAAGGACCACTATAGTGCCAGAAAAACATACTTGTTTTCCTGGCACTATAGTGCCCTGAGGGTGCCCCCATTAAAGGGGTAAAAACTTACCTTTTTCCAGCGCTGGGCAGGGAGCTCTCCTCCTCCGATCCTCCTCCTCCTCTCCTCCCCGTCGGCTAAATGCGCACGCGCGGCAAGAGCTGCGCGCCCATTCAGCCGGTCGCATAGGAAAGCATTATCAATGAGACAGCCGCTAGAGGGAATAGGGGGAAGGCTTAACCCATTCATAAACATTTATATGTTTATAAAAAAAACGGGTTAACCCTAGCTGGACCTGGCACCCAGACCACTTCATTAAGCTAAAGTGGTCTGGGTGCCTAGAGTGGTCCTTTAACTTATTTGTGAGGTATGTCAATGTATGTGAGGTATTTATGTTTGGAGTGTGAGTAACAATCTACATAAATTCACCCCTCATTTCATTGTGCGTGTGTGAATGCAGTGTGAAAACTGTGCGGAGTGTTGAAGTAGCTTAATGAAGCAGTTTTGGTGTATAGAACATGACCCTGCAGCCTCACTGCTCAATCCTCTGCCATTTAGGAGTTAAATCCCTTTGTTTATGAACCCTAGTCACACCTCCCTGCATGTGACTTGCACAGCCTTCCATAAACACTTCCTGTAAAGAGAGCCCTATTTAGGCTTTCTTTATTGCAAGTTCTGTTTAATTAAGATTTTCTTATCCCCTGCTATGTTAATAGCTTGCTAGACCCTGCAAGAGCCTCCTGTATGTGATTAAAGTTCAATTTAGGGATTGAGATACAATTATTTAAGGTAAATTACATCTGTTTGAAAGTGAAACCAGTTTTTTGTTTTCATGCAGGCGCTGTCAATCATAGCCAGGGGAGGTGTGGCTAGGGCTGCATAAACAGAAACAAAGTGATTTAACTCCTAAATGACAGTGAATTAAGCAGTGAAATTGCAGGGGAATTATCTATACACTAAAACTGCTTTATTTAGCTAAAGTAATTTAGGTGACTATAGTGTTCCTTTAAGGGATGTTTGTGCATATGAAATCAGAGTGGTCTATATATGGAGGGACAGTATGTGTGAATGCAGGGGTTTATTGGCACTGTTTTCCCCTATCCATTTCATTTTCTACTTCCATGTTAGTTGGCAATTCCTTCTCCAATTTACTAGCCTACCACACCACACCACTTTCCTTCTCCATCCAATGAAACTTCCTCCATTTGTGCCACTTTCTATAACCATAGAACTTAGACACAACTACATAAAAAAAAAAAATAATAATAATAATTATAAGGACCTCCAACAGTTTCCTAACAAGAGTGTCTGCATCGTTAGTGCAGTGTAAGCTTGTTTGAGCAAGGCCTACTTCATGTCTGTTATATTTCATATGTAACGTACTGGTGGTCAAACATCCCCATTTTGGATTTGTAAAGTGCTGCGGAATATGTTGGCGCTATATAAATAATGATGATGATGATGATGATAAGAAGAACACCACATTTAGGGGCAGAAAGCTGCGGCTGATTTCCCTCCTCCTGGTGATTGCATGTGGTATGACGCCATAAATAAAGATCACAAATGAAGAACAGTTTACTATGACAAGATGTACAAGTTAGGCATGTAATAATACATTACTACGGCCAATCTAGTAAAACATGCTGATCCAGAATACACAGCAAAATCCTGTTACATAAAATTAGTTTTCCAATTTTCATGGAAATGGCTGCAATAAAATTTTAATGTTCTACCAGACGATTATGTCTGTCAGTGAGACCATTACTCACACCTGTGCCGTTTTCCTTCACAACAATATCAGCATTTTGTAAAGGAACAAGACAAAACACAATAAATATATATATATATTTTTTTTTTTAAAGGGGAAAAGAAAAAAAAAAAAATAGATTCATTGTTTGCAAATCTGCTGACTTACCCAGTTTTATTTCGGTCAAGTAGGTTGGGAAACATGGCTCGTAGATAAGCACAGGTACAGATCAGCAAAAGAATTACAGTCAACAGACTCTGGAAGTTAAAAATGGCAGACTGCAAAAGAAAGAAAAACAAAACATCTAACTAAATATATGAGGGTATACGAAAACCAGCAATAGGCTATTTATTCATTATCAAATGGAACAAGACATTTAAAGTGCTATCTTGCCTGGACTGAGGGAATGGGTGGAAAAACAATAATAAAAGCAAAACACACAATGGGAACAAAAAGGTTTTTATTTAACAAACAGCACAGCTGTTATTTATAACACTGACATTTCGTAAGTTAATGGCAAATGATACATAATCTTATTTTCACAGCCTTTTCCTTACATAGTGATTGTGCAAAATAAATGTGTCCTAGTTACTCTTTGAAAGTGACCAATCTTTAGTTTAAAAATATTTAAAGTGTTGCGTGGCTTGATTAGACCTCAAACAATTTCTGCATGAAGTAGCAGATCTCTTTGGTAAAACCCGAGGGCAATACACTCCTCTTCCCCTTACTCAAAGCATGTTGTTACTTATAACTGTGATTTGCAATAATCATTGTACTTATAAGCCAGGGCTTGACAAATCCCAGGCGCCAGGTTGCCAATTAATTTTGTCCTGGCGCCTGGGTGTTTGTCCTCCTGATCAGCGGCAGCTCAATCCGTCATCCTGCACCCTTGCGGCAGTCGGCTGAGGCATAATTGAGGCGGTAGTGAGGGAGCTGTAATCTTCCTGCTCTGTTCCCTAATGCAGTCTGCAGTGATGATGAAATACAACGTCATTCCCTCCCTGACATCACTATACGGCACATGAGGGAGCAGAGCAGGAAGCGCTTGAAGACTTCAGCACCGCACAACTGGACTAAAGTGAAAGGATCCACTCCAGCTTTCCCCAAAGGTAAGGAGGCTGGGTGGACTTTAAAAAATTAAATAAAAAAATACCAAATATGGGAGTGTGTGTGTGTGTAAGTGAGTGAGTGTCTTTTTTCCCATGCCATGCTGATCTAGCCGTTGCTGACCTGCCTCCATGGCTGAAATAATCAATCTTGATGATCTCAGACAATTCAATCCTTACCATAGTGAAGAATTGTTAGGTTATTGCAAATGCGTGTCAAAACACCGCACTGCACCAGTCAGCATCTCCTCGTAGTGAATCAGTGCATCTCTCTGGGAAAGATACAGCGCCTCCATGCAGAGTGTGGCCGATGAGAAAAACTCATCCCTACCTTTAGTATTTGACAAGCCACTGTTTGGAATTTATGTCCCATTAAATTTGTTGATGTTGCCACTGCTGGACTACAACTCTCAATGTACGCAGTGAGATTCTGGCTGGAGCTTGTAGGAATTAAAACATCAGTTGTAATAGGATTGGGAGGCAACCAATTACAAAACAGTTAATGTGGAATATAACTCCAGTCACCCTCATATGGTTTGCGGAATCCAAGAAAAACGTGAGTCCACAGTAGCTTTGTATAGCAACTAATAAAAAGTAAAATCTTAGGGCTTTGAAAATATTTATGAAATGTTGGCACATGCACATTTATATTTAGACAGACTGACACTTGAAAAAAGGAGACCCCAGTATGTGAGCCTAGCACAACTCTTTTAAAAAGTGGAAAGGGAGATGGCGTAAGAGCAAACCATCTAAAAGTGATAATGGGGAGAGAGGCAGCAGGTAGAAGAGAATACTTCACATCTGCAAGATGTTAACGGCAGGAAACATCTGCCAACTGCACCACACGAGGAACGTGTACTAAGGGTAATAATATACTCAGGAATATGTAAGCACCATATAAGTTATAACAATAGTGTACACTTCCTCAAAGCAACACAAAACATGAAGCAGTGGTTGGCTTTACAACCAAATGAATGTCAGAATTTAATAGTCAGAAAGAAATGTGGATATTTACACCTGATGAATAATACTTTGGTAAATATGATAAAAAAAAGAAGGAAAGAGCTGCAACACAAACTTAATGACGTTTTATCCCGCTTGACAAAAACCTTAACTCAAAGCTCGAAAAATGGGATTGATCAATCCATTCCCTCTTCCTGTCTCAATCCTCATGCAGCTCTCCGTCCGTCGGTGCACCAGAAGTGAAGGGAACTGCAAGCTGGCAGGACACCATGTAAAATCTGCTCTGCTCAATTCCGCAGAGCATGTTGCTTCCCCTCCGTGGTCTCAGCACCAGGGAGTAATTCATTTGACTGGGAGTATCTAGAAGTCTTTGTGTGTGTTTGTATTTGAGGGTATCTAATAATAAAAAAAATTAATTGTATGTGTGTGTGCCAGTCCAGGTGTCTGTCAGTGTATGTTTAGGTCACTAGCCCCCCTCTGGTCACATAGGAATGCTGTTTTTTACTCACTTCCCCCCAACGCCATGCCATGCCTGTCTCACCGCGGCGGGCCTGCCTTCATAGGAAAGCATTGGAAGCTATTGAGCACGTGTGGCAAAATGCTGCACCAATAAACATGTCCTCATACAAAAATGCATTAAATCAATGCATCTCTATAGAGAACGTACAGCGCCTCCACACAGAGCATGGAGATGCTGAATGTAGATTCTGCACATTGAGATAGACACTTTAGTGGCTATTTGAGTGACTGCTACTGGTGGTGTTACTAGCCAGCAATGTAAACACCCTGCCTTCTCTCGCTGTTTACATTGAAAAGCCTGCAGGGACAGGCTATAGACACAATTAAGCTGTAGTAGTTAAGGTGACTATAGTGTTCCTTTAACAATTGTATTTTTGTTGTTGAAAGAAACTGGCCCATAACCTTTTTAGCTAGCTCCTAAATTCAACGCAAATTTGTAAAGCCAAGCCTTAACTGGATGAAACATTGGCAGGTTTGCTTGTTTGATGATGGAATTAAACATCACCTCTATATTGAAGCTGGTGTTGAGGCTCTTTTCTTCATTATTATGGTTACGGTAGACTAGAGTCGAAGTCCTTGATGTCTGCACCCGTATCATACACAACAGGTAGAGTGCTGAGTGCCTACCTCATAAATATCCATTAATAATAGAGAGAAGGCTGAGACGTAGTTAGAAACAGCTTGTTATGCAGTGTGGTGTTCGTGAGCGTCTCTGCATACCCCCTACCTGTTGTCGGTAAGACAAGGTGGTCCTAATTTGTGACCCGTCCCATCTTTCCACAAAACTCAGAAAAGCCTAAATTCTGGTTTGTTGGAAATCACTAAAGAATGGGGTAAAATGTTTTAAAATATGATCTTGGGGACCCCTTTAAGTTAACTATATAGCCCAAATGAATATCTTAATAAAATCATAGATAGCTTGAGGTCTCAAGCCAGTATGTGATAATATATCACCATACGGCCATTGGAATAACCATGGATTCTTTGCTAGAATGGCAACCAGCCAGACATTTAGATGGAAGTTCATTAGAGTATGTTTAGATTAGTGTTACTTGCTTTTGTCAGAGATACAATAAAGGTTCTAATCTCTATTCAAATAGCTGCAACTTCCTACAGATCTACAATGTTCCTTAAAAGTGCAATGGTAGAGGATTTTTAAATGTTCCTTTAAGTCAATGTTAACAAGTTTATTCTTTTACATCTACAGCCATTGCCATTCCAAAAAAAAAAAAAAAAAAAATCTCACAAGAGAACAAGAGTATGGATATCTATGAGAATATGCCTAGCAGTGTTAGATGTTGAATTCTTAATCGAGTTTTGTTTATTTACTTTTCATCAAGACGACTAGTAGAAGGAGCGCTCAATGAAAGCAGCTGGAATCTATTTCAGCATGTTAAAGTTAATTAACTAACCCCCTGGCCTGGTTTTTTTTTTTCCCTGTAGAAGGGGGATATAATTAATAGCTGCTGTAATGCAAACACTGGTACAAGGGTTAATATTAAAGGACTTAATCTATAAAATAGAGAATTGCTGTGAATTTACAGGAGAATTGCAAAGCAGCAAAGGCGGAAAACAGGCTTTGAACTTAGCAGCTTTGGTCTAAATGCTAAATTATCTTGTCAATTCACAATTTAGTGGATTAACCTGAAAAAGTAGCCAAGTTGAACGGTCACAACCAGATATTTGTGCATAACTTGGTCTAAATAGGTAGCAAAGGGTTGTGCGATTTTTTTTTTTTTTTTTTTTTAAACTTGCAATAGTTTTTAAACTTACAAAGCTGTAACATATACCTATAGACTGTAAGCTGGTTTGAGCAGGGTCCTCTTCAACCTATCGTTCCTGTAAGTTTTCTTGTAATTGTCCTATTTATAGTTAAATCCCCCCTCTCATAATATTGTAAAGCGCTACGGAATCTGTTGGCACTATATAAATGGCAATAATAATAATAATAATAATAATAAAAGTTAAATATTATAGTGTCATGTGCAAAATGCCACTGCTGAAAGAATGGCCAATTGCGCATGAGCACCCCCTGGAGCATTATGGGTTGATGAGGTCTTTCTTCTCCTGAACAGGTTAGTGCTGTGGACGTGCTTTGTTTTTTAAATTTTACTCACTATAATTGTGTGTATTAACCCTATTTTACCTTTTTAAAAAAACATTACACAAGCTCAGAGATAAAGAAAATGCCTCATGGTCCAAATGTTGGCTTTTTTTTTGTACTTCAATTTATTCTTTTCTGCTCTGCTGCAAAAATATCTTCCGATCAGATTGAACTACTCAATATGGAAAGAGAGATCACTTTCATTTTGACTTTGGGTGACCTCGCTCATGTCGCACTGGCTGCTTGAAATTGAATTTAACCATTTGATATGCTCTGAAGACAAAACATTAGGTCTTACTCAGGCACCAGTTGCAAAGACATCAATGCAATTGATACCCCAGCTCTGCGATCAGAACCATCTCTTCTGGGCATAACCTTGTGTCTTATCAGATTAAACAGAAATACACGTTTGCCTTACATCTTTATGCCTGAATAGGAGTTGCGGATGCACCTATCAACACCAACATTACACAGAGGGATTTCTGAATGTATTTTCTGTGTGTTTAATTCAAATAAAATATTAATAGAATCCACAAAATATGGCTAGTAAAAATGTTACTAACACACAGTCACCTATTCACTAAACAGTGAGTTCTGCTTCATTTAGGATTCTTTCTTTTAAACTTGTGTTACTCTCCACCCTTAGCACCAGAACAGAGCGCTGTAGTGGTTATGGTGCCACGATTGGCCTGACAACCCCCACCCATTATTAGTAGTCAAACTGTTTTAGAATTGGTTTGGCATTTTACTTTGGGTTCGCCAGGCGCTGCACCCAACCTTAACTACCTCAATCAGAGAGCTGCCAATGAGCCCTACACAGCTGACATATAAAGTAATGGGAGAGGAGAAACAATTGGAGATTAAAAGGTAGATATTTTAAAATTTACATAAAAACCTGGATTAGATATCAAAAAATTATCAAAAAAAACCCAAAACACTAAAAAGAGTAATTGCCAATACATATAAAACAGGAAATGCTCTAGATTTTTAAATACATTTTACACACACACACACAGTGATATATAAAACTGCACAATTTAAAGAGAATGTACTTTTTTCCCCCCATGACTGTATATGAGAGAAAGATGTAAGTTTTCTGCCAAAATAAATTTTAGCTAAAAAAAACCCAAAAAATAAAAAATGCACACACGTTTAGATATAAAAAAAATAAAAAGAAATGTAAAGAACTTATATATATATATATATATATTTTAACACCACCGCTAAGGAATTGTTTAGTGTCTATATTCCTTGTTCATATCAGACGTATGCATGTTATCTTTACGCCGTCTCTTTCAACAATCTTAATGTTATGTGCATTATCATCCATTTCCCATCACTCTTCTTCAGGCTTCTTTGCTCAACTCTTAAGATCTTCTCTCACTTAAGATTTGAGTGTTTCTGTTCAGGAAGTACCAGAGTCTTATCCTGCACAAAGTCAGCGCAAAGCAACAGCCTTTGGTGTTAGGAGACATTCAGAAAGATCCAATGTTAGGAGACACCAGCAGTATGGCACATGCTGCATAGACTTTCCCAAAGCATCTCAGCATCTTTAAGACATGGTGTGGATCCCACAATAACCAAAATAAAAAAAATAAAAAAAACTACCACCACACAGAAATAAACGCTGCAAGAAGAAAAGTCCACATTTTAATTTATATATTGATGTTTGCTTCTTGTTCAGTGCTACAGGCTTCTCCAACTCTACTATATTTATAACTAGGATATTTTGCTTAAAGGAACACTATTTTCATTAAAACAAGTTTAGCTTAATGAATCAGTTTTAGTGTAGATCATGCCTCTGAAATCTCACTGCTCAATTCTATGACATATAGGAGTTAAATCACTTTTGTTTGTTTATTCCACCCTAGTCACACAGGCACATGATAAACATAAGGTGCTAAATTTCAATCAGATGTTAACTTTCTTTAGAAGTTTTTATCTCATGCTCTGTAAATTCATCTTTATTCAAGAGGTAAGACATTCTAAATGAAATAGAAATTGCAATAAAGTAAGTGTAAATATTAGATCTCTCTTTACATGAAGTACAGTAGTTAGGAAGGCTGTGCATATTACACACAAGAAGGTGTGACTAGGGCTGTATAAACAATGTGATTTAACTCATAAATGACCGAGAATTAAGCAGTGAGCAGACAGGGAGGGGGGGGCTGACCTATACACTAAAACTGCTTCATTAAGCTAAAGTTGCTTTGGTGACTATAACGTCCCTTTAAAGATAATAATCTAAAAAATAAAAATAAAAAATAAAACGTTTTTATTCACCCGCTGGGAGACGACAACATTAATACAAGCAGGAACATGGTCACTATAGCATTAAGAGTACAGATCTTGGATTACATATAAAATTAAATACAATAAATAATATCTTCATTTTTTTTGTTTAGAAAAGTTCTGGAGGCAGGACATATGAGCAATGTTGCTCAAAGCAGTCTCAAGGCACAGAAAGAGAAACACACACAAAAAAAAAAAAAAGTGTCTCACCAGCACTTAGAACCTCTAACTCATAAATGGTTTAACATAAACAATTCCTCTCAGGAGCAGTTTCTCTCTGCCCCTCTATACCTGCTTTGTCAAAATCTTCAGAACGGAGATTTTGCACCTTGTTGGCTGCCTGCCAGTCAAGTATCCTGGCCCAGGAATGGTGGACCATACATGGAGCACTGTTGTAGCGCCCTCTGCAGGGTCCTAATGCCCCGAGCATGGCAAGAGTGTGTCTAATGATGCGCTCACACTGTGCTTGTTGGGGCCAGTTCTCGCAGCAATTTGGATGAGAAATGATTGACTGGAGAAGGAAGGGCCATAATGTTAAATATATATATATATATATATATATATATATATATATATAAAAAACATACACACATAAATAATACAATGTTTAACAAAAATCTGCACACCAGCCAAGCCATAAGACTTGCTTTTCTGACAAAAAAAAAAAATGTTACTAACCCAAAGGATTCTGGGTGGGCATATGCAAATTAGTTTAAAATGGAATGAGGCAAAAATGTGATGCTTTGTTAACCCCTTAACACCGGAGGGCGTACTATTACGCCCTATTTTAGGCGGCTCTAAACGCCGCCGGGCGTAATAGTACACCCTACGGTCTTTCTTTACTTACCCGGTCGCCGGCGGTCCCACGCCGGCGATCGCGGTTGGGGGGACTCCCAAGGAGCCGCCCGCGGCACATTCGTCCTCCTGAAGCCCCCCCTGGCCATGTGAGAGTGAGGTCCTTGCGAGGACCTCACAATCACATGGCCAGGATAGCTGGCTCCAGCATTGCCAGCAGGGGGGCTACCTGTAATGACAGATAGTCCCCCTGCTGGCTGGAAATAAATTAAATTAATAAAGCGTAAAAAAAAAAATTAAAAAAAAATTATATACTTAGATTATATATACACATATATATATGTTCTAAGTATATATATACATACATATATATATATATATATATACACATATATACATATATATATATATACACATACACTGTCTAGGTGTATTTTACTATTATATATATATATATATATATATATATATATATATGTAAAAAACAGATACAATTCTTATCTTGTAATACCTTTTTTATTGGACTAACAGAATTTTTTAATGACAAGCTTTCGGGAGAACCTCCCTTTCTCAAGTCTGAAGCATTTCAGACTTGAGAAAGGGAGGTTCTCCCGAAAGCTTGTCATTAAAAAATTCTGTTAGTCCAATAAAAAAGGTATTACAAGATAAGAATTTTATCTGTTTTTTACATCTACATCACTGGACTAATACGGCTACAATCTCTACTTGAACACTTATATATATATATATATATATATACATATATATATATATATGTATCTAAATATATATATATATATATATATATATATATATATATATATATATATATATATATATATATATATATATATAAAAATATGTAAATACCTTAAAAAATAAAATTAAAAAATAAAATAAATAATTAAAAAATATATAGATGTGTGTTATTTTGTTCTAACTGTATTGTGATATTAATATATATATTTATATCAAAATACACGTAGAACGAAATAATATATATATCTATATACATAAATATATACGTATATATCACTATATATAAAAATATTTTTTAAAAATTATATATTATATATATACACACACATATATTAATTCTACATATATATTTATGTAATATTTTTACATAATTAGGTATCTTCATTAATTACAAGCGGGACCTGCCTGACAACCCATGCCGAAAGTAAAGGGAATTTAATTTGCTAGCACTATATTTAACCCTATAACTTTCCAAGACACCATAAAACCTGTACATGGGGGGTACTGTTCTACTCGGGAGACTTCGCTGAACACAAATATTAGTGTTTCAAAACAGTAAAATGTATTATAACGATGATATCGCCAGTAAAAGGGACTTTTTTGCATTTATCAAGCACAAACAGCACTTACACGGACGATATTATTGCTGCGATACTTTTTACTGTTTTAAAACACAAATATTTGTGTTCAGCAAAGTCTCCAGAGTACAACAGTACCCCTCATGTACAGGTTTTATGGTGTTTTCAAAAGTTACAGCGTCAAATATAAGGCTTGTGTTTCATTTTTTTCACATTAAAATTCGCCAGATTGGTTACATTGCCTTTGAGACCCTATGGTAGCCCAATAATGAAAATTACCCCTATGATGGCATACCATTTGCAATAGTAGACAACCCAAGGCATTGCAAACGGGGTATGTCAAGTCTTTTTTAGTAGCCACTTAGTCACAAACACTGGCCAAAATTGGTGTTTTTTGAATTTTTCACACACAAACAAATACTAATGCTAACTTTGGCCAGTGTTTGTGACCAAATGGCTACGAAAAAAGACTGGACGTACCCCATTTGAAATACCTTGGGTTGTCTACTATTGCAAATGGTATGCCATTATGGGTGTAAATTTCATTCCTGGGCTACTATACAGTCTCAAAGGCAACGTAACCAATCTGGCGAATTTCAATTTCAAATGTAACGTGTTATATTTGACCCTGTAACTTCCCAAAACGCCATAAAACCTGTACATAGGGGGTACTGTTTTACACGTGAGACTTTGCTGAATACAAATATGTGTATTTTATTGCAGTAAAAGCAAACAGTATTATGACATTGACAGTTAAAATGTCATGTAGAACAAAAAAAAATCAAAAAAAAAAAAATCTTATTTTCTCCCATTTTTTTCATATTAAATTATGTTTCATAGCTAAATATTTGATATTAAATAAAAGGGTATATAATAAGGGTGGGTGCATTTAATATGAAAGGTGAATTACGGTTAGACAGACATGTAGCGCAAATGCCAGGTTTTGTTTACATTTTGTTTTGTTCACAACGTGTACATTTGGCTCCGTCCTTAAGGGGTTAAACATGGATTCATTTGAGTCTGTGTTTGTTGTATACAACAGCTTTGAAACAGAACTTAGGAAAAGATGCAAAGATAGATTATATATAAATTATTATAATTTTTTTTTTTTTTTTTTTACAAGAACAATGTATAAAGTATTTTTTTATGTTCCTTCAATAATGAACCAAAAAAATAAAAATTTGAAAGAATAAGTAAAAGCCAAGAAACAACACACAAATACAAAGAACCATAATAATCTTCCTACAATACAGAGAAGAGACATCCACAAAAATGTGCCTGAGCAGCTTCATCAATCAGTGTGATTCCCAAGTGGCTCTCAAAACTGAAAGCCACAGAGGATGCTGCATTCATGGTGATTACTGTTAAATGAAATATGGGTGGTGGAAAGTTCCTCTACATTTTTTTTTTTCTCTTTCAGAATACTGCAAGAGCAATAAAGGAAAGAGAGCAATCTGTTTTTCTGCATTCCCAACACGGGTCAAGAGCAGATGTACAAGTTTGCATTGTGAATCTTGTCATCGTGGTCAATTAGGTCAGTGAAAAATGACATGAAATAAGTGCTATTCATAGCACCTTGGGGCTATCAGCATAGCAACACATTCTGAATGGACAAGAAACACTACCGAAACCAACATAAAATGTGTTACAAACTGTGCCAGGGGAAGCATGACCATGTTAACACAATTTTAGAGGTCCATAGGTCAAGGATTATGTATTTAACAACAGTTTTTTGCTTACATAGTAAAACAAAAATTTTGAAAATTAGAAGTAGAAATGTAAAAATGTTTTGCGAATTACTGCAGCAACAACAAACAGGATGAGGAGCCCGGGAATTCCATGGCACCATGGCCTGTATAAAAGGCAAAACTGTGATTATAGTGCCTAAAGTGTACGCCATTAAAGGGTGATTCCCAAGCACCATGACCATGTAAGTGATATGAAGTAGTTATGGTGACTGAAGTCTGCATGTGCAGTGTTTTGCTATGAAACACTGCACATACAGACAAAACTAAGATTAATCCCTCTGCTGTAGTGTATCAACACCTCTCAGCGTCATTGGGGTGTCATCAGTCAGTCCAAATTGAGAGTTCTGGGCTACTGAACGTCAACCTGTGCAAGTTTTAATGCCCACAATTGCATTAGTTAACCGAGAGCAGTCAGCTGATGCTCTCATCCAAAGAATTGTGACAGCCACCAGGGAACAATGAAGCCTAGAAGGGCCCGGATACGGGTGCAAACAGTTGTTAAATGTTTGGCCTAGTACCGGGAAACCAAGCCAGGGTACTCCTGGCATCATAACCAAGACACAGGGCTTAAAAAGTGCCTTTCAACTGAAATTCGTTCCAGGTCTCATGCTGCAAAGAGAACATTTTGTTCTACTTCTGCAAAAAAAAAATTTTTTTATTTTATTTATATATATATATATATATATATATATATATATATATATATATATATATATATATATATATATATATATATATATTTTTTTAACATTTTAAATATTTTTTATTTTTTTTACATTTTAACCCCTTCATAAACAGGTTCATTTCACACATATCACATTTTAAATTAGAACGAGGAGCAAATTATGGAATAGATAACCGTTCCAAGATACATAAAATAATGTGACATTTCATCCATTTAATATTTGCATACATAAATGGAATAATGTTTAGAGTATATATGGTATTCCTTTCCTTCCTAGAACCAATTTTTCCAACAGGTTCTTAGGGCATCCATCTGAAAGGGAGGCAGGCTGCCCCTCCATATTTTAAAGCAGTTCTGTGAATAGCGACCGCTGCCGAAGGTGATTGCTATAGGCAGCTGCTAGCCCTCCACCCCAGTGTATTTTATGCTCTTTTTATTCCTTATTGATGGCGAGATACACAGTAGCTTTGCTGCACACCCTTGTGACCATCACATCACATAAAAAACCCCATGGAAAAAATGTCACATGCTCTCCCTAATCTGGATGCCAACCCTACCTCTTTAGGCAAACCAATCAAAAGAATTTGATTTAAGATAATCTTAAATAAAGTTTCTTATTCTAAAAATTGGTGTGAAGATGTACAGGAAGAGTCACCAATGGAATGTGTTTGTTAGTTCTACTGGTTTCCATGAAGATTGTCTCATTTTAAGGCTGGGTTGCCTTATCCTGCTGAAAAAGGCCACTTTCATCAGTGAACACAGTTGCCATGAAAGGGTGTACGTGGTGTAAATCAAACTCTACGTATGTGGTACATGTCAAAGTAGCATCCACATGGATGCCAGGACCTATGGTTTCTAGCAGAAAACGCTGCTGGCGGCCTGCCTTCTTCCCATAGTGCGTTCTGCTACAATTGCTTCCCACGTAAATGACGCACACGCACTGGGCAATCCACCTGATCTAAAAGAAAAACATGATTCATTAGACCAGGCAATCTTCTTCCTTTGCACCAGGTCTGACCCTCAGCGGTCAGGAGTCATCATAGGTACTCTGAGCGGTCTGTGGTAAACAGCATACGGAGATGCATTGTGTGTTCTCTCACCTTTCCATCATGGCCAGCATTGGGTTGTTCAGCAATCTGAGCTACAGTATACTTCTATGTGATTGGACCAGATGGGCTAACCTTCTCTCCCCGTGTGTATCAATGAGCCTTGGGCACCCAGAACACTGACGCCAGTTCACTGTTTTAGAGATGCTCTAATCCACCAGTCCAGCCATCACTATTTCACCTTTGTCAAAGTCACTGTTTTCGCTTGCCCCTTTTTTTCCTGCTTCCAACACATGGACCAAGGGTAACACAAAGATGTAAGGGACTATACGCACTCAGACCACTTTAGCTCATTGAAGTGGTCTTAATGTATGGTGCCAGGTACCTTAACCCTACAAAAGGTAATTATTGCAATTTTAATAAACTGCAAGAATTACCTTTGAGAGTTAACTCCATTCATAGTGGTTGTCTACGAGACAGACACTAGAGGGACTTCCTATGGGGGAAATACTAATACAAGAGAGGGCATTGCCACGCATTTGGTTTTTCCTGGTAGCTGACATTGGCGCAACAGAGGGGGGCACTACAGTGCCAGGAAACAACTGTTTTCATGGCACTATAGTTTCCCTTTAAAAACTCATCACTCTTCCTTGCAGTGCCTCTTACAGATTCTGAATAATTAGTGAAGATGTACATCTACTATTTTTTGCAACAGTACTTATGGTAAAAACTAATCAAATATTCTGCAATTTTGTTATTTATAAGTAATCTGCTGATTAAGGAATGCCAGTAGAATGCAAACATTTCAACTATGTAGGAATAATGCCCACATACGGTGCACAGAATATCTGAATTAAAACCATGCACCTTTATTTCAAAGAGCATGGTGAATTTACAGTGCACTCATAAATGGGTGAAATGCTTAATTGTATAATTATTTGGGTTGGACAGTACCGCACTAAGAAGCTGTGTGGACACATAACCCGAACTATTCATGCTTCTCTTTCTAGAGATCTTTCTCTGGTGTCTCCATGTTGTGTATACACAAAGGTATCAGGGACATGGAAAATGGGGGTTAACAGATGTTTGGCATGTTCCTGCTTGTAAATGTTTGAGAAAAAATAAATAAAAATCTACCCATGAAGAAAAAGTCAATCAGGGCAAAGACTGATTCTTCATTCGAGAACAATTTCATTGAAATTACAAGTCTGCAAAACCAGTGACTAATTGGTCATGAAATGCAAATCTAATCAACTGTTCAGTAGGTATTATGTTTCCTTACAAGAAAAAGATGCTGTAAATAAACAAATGTTTAAATATACTGTTAAGAGTGCAGAATAAATGCTATGCCAATGTCTAAACCAGCAGTTCCCAAACTGTGTGCACACAGGGGAGCCGCAAGATATTTTCCCAGTGCTATGATGATAGCACTGGGAACTGTGCCTCCCTCTCCCCGGCCGGCTCTGCAGGACCGTAGGGGAGATCAGAGATCTCCCTCTTTGACCCGCTAGCAGTGTAATGCTGGCAGCCGGCAGGGGAAGGGGAGAGAGAGGACCCGGGGAAGCGCTAACCTGCAGCTCCGCTGGCTTCTCCTCTCGCGAGCTCAGAGCATTGCCGCGGTTACTCCTGAGGCTGCTAGAGTTTACTCTCACCACTGGGACCAGAGATTGCAGGAAATGTTGCCCCTCCAGCCGAAGTAAAACAGGGGGAGGGGGAGGGAGGGAAAATCAGAAAATTAGGGATCGACCAATTATCAGTCTGTCTGATATTCTGTATTTTCAACAATATCGGTATCGGCCAATAAAGATACTGATATTGCCGATAATGCAGACCAGGACCGCCATCAGGGTCCTGGGGGTCCATGGTGGCCCAGCACACTCTTACTTACCATCCCTTCAGCTCCCCTGTGTAACTCTTGCAAGTCCCGTGGCCATCAAAGCGTTGACACTGTTACCATGGCAACGCTCCACGCGGCACACAGGACGCGAGAGTTAGACAGGGGAGCTCCTGGGAAGGTAAGTAATCGTGTGCTGGGCTCCCCAGGACTGCCGTGGGCCCCCAGGAAATGCCATAAAAACCTGAGCGCAAAAAAAAAAAAAAAATTGATTCCAAGCCAACCAATCAGAGTGCTCTGACAGGTAAATGAAGAGACTGACAGGTACAGGTAAATGAAGAGACTGACAACCAGAGAGTTATGAGTCAAATTACACAGCATGGGAAAACTCCAAAGAACTTTCCCACGCTGTGTAAAATTACTCCGAGCACTCTGATTGGTTGGATTTTAATCTTTTAATTTAGGGCTCCCCACACTGCTCATGGGTGGGGGCCTGGGGGAGTGCAATAGATCCCCCCCTTTACTGTAATTTAGGGCCACCACCCACCACTCCTGGGTGGGGGCGAGGGAGGACAATAGGTCCCACGCCCCATTTTCATTTAGGGCCCCACCCGACGCTCATGGGTGGGGGCCGGGGGAGGACAATATGCCGTGAGTAGGGGCGTTTGGGATATTTTAATTTTCCTTATGCTATTATGGAGGTCATATTGACCCCAATAGAGTGAGGGAGGACATGGGGGGCTTAGGAAGTGGCAGGGAACATTGCTCCCTGCCGCTTCTATTTTTACAGATTACAAAGAGGGAGCTGTGAGCCGGTAGCTCCCTTCTTGTAATTCTTGTAATAAACCAAACAAACTAACCGACTTTATTCATTTGTTTGAAATTTGTATTCATTTATTCGTCTTTCTGACGAATGAATGGATGAAATTCCCATTCGAATGCTTAACTGGGCATGCGCGGGAATTTCACAGTGCTATCTAGTGTGGGCAGATGACGTGTCCAACAGGGACTATATCTACCCACACAAAGATGGCAGCGCCCAGGACCTAAGTCCGGGCAGAAAATAAAGATTAAAAAATAGGTAATATGGGAGGCTTAGGGGCATTTGGGAGTGAATAGGGGGACAATTATATGTAGTGGAGTAGGGAGGGGGGATAAAACCAAAACTGGGTTCGGCCATGACAATGCCGCTTAAAACCAATTTCTGCAAAATAAATTGAATCAAGTCAAGTGTCTGCTATTTTCAGGAATACAAGATTTACAACTGCATAACGTGCAAGAGCCCACAAAAACAAAGCTTGATCTATACAGATTGAGAAAACCATGTTAAATGTTCCTTAAAGGGACACTACAGACACCAAATCAACTCTAGCTCAATGAAGCAGTTTCTGTGTATAGATCATGCCCCTGCATTCTCACTGCTCAATTCTCTGCTATTTATGACCTATGTAAGCTCGTTTGAGTGGTGTCCTCTCTAACCTATTGTTCCTGTAAGTTTTTGTACTTGTCATTTATTGTTAAATCTCTCCCTCTTGTAATATTGTAAAGCGCTACAAATTTTTTTTGACGCTATATAACTGCCAATAATAATATAACTTTTGTTTCTGTTTATGCTGGCCTAGCCACACCTCCCTTGGCTGTGACTCACCACCTACATGAAAAAATGGTTTCATTGTTAGTTAATCAGATGTTAACCTGGTCCTGCCACTTAAATTTAACTTTAATCATGCTCCTGCGTGGTCTAGAAGGCTATTTAAAGAGTAGGATATAACAAATTATCACTTAAACATACTGTGGAATAAAGGAATTTTAAACATTAGATCTCACTTTAAAGGAAGTGTTTAGGAAGGCTGTGAAAGTCATGTGCAGTAAGGTGTGGCTAGGACTGTATCAACAAAAATACCTAACTCTTAAATGTTAGATAATTGAGCTGTGTGACTTCTACTTAATTAAACTAATGTTGATTTGATGCCTATAGTGTCCCTTTAATATTTCTAGTATAAACCTTTATGGTTTTAAGTGTTTGAAGAATGTTCTAACACAATATATTTTTCTGCAAGGGACAGGTACTCTAGTATGGGTATCCCCAAATCAACCTCCCATGCAAATTTATTATCTGTATACAAACATGTGGGTAACCCCTCAAGCATTTTTGCAGAAGACTCAAATGTAGAAGGGCGAGGGTGTCAGGGCAGAGTGCAATTACCCAACATCATTTACATGGATGGACAAATCTAAACAATTACTGCTGCTGGAGAGGAGATTTAAGACAAAGTGCTACATACAGGCTGCTTCTAAAAAGTTCTACTTTCTTGTAAATCCAAAAAGCATTTCCCTCCACCGCAAGACTGCCATTAATTATAAGAAACAAAGTTTAGAGAAATTATATATATATATATATATATATATATATAAAAAAAAAAAAAGCAAAAGAAATTAACACTGTCACACAGGATCCTAAGCAGGTATGCCTAAATAAATGTATGTATTCATTATAATGAATATAAAACATGTATTGTACTTCAATTCAATAAACCCAGCACACACTGTAATGTGATAGGTAACCATATACAAAATGTTGAAAAGGTTGGGCAATACAGACATTGCTATAATTAAAAACATCCTTGATACATTAACCACAAATTTACAAATATCACTGTTAAATTATGCAATATTGCTGGCATTCTTTAAAATAAAATAGATTAGTCATTGCCTTCCCATAGCGGCAGCCAAGTTCACATGACATGTTAACAGCAGAAAGAATAATGGGGGGAAAATTGCTTCATTACATACAATGATTGATTAGAGCTAAAGTTGTAATGTGTTACAATGTGTAGACTATCCATGGTGGATATTAAAACCTTTTAAAGGCACACGAGAGGCACCCAGACCCACTTATCTCTATGAAGAGATGAAGAGATCTGTGTGCTGTGTCCCATTTTAGTCCTGCAGGTCAATGTTTGCATTGCAGGGCTAAACACACCTCTTGTGTTTGTTTTTCTGCCAGCCACTAGATGGTGCTTCCGGACCCACACCAAAGTCAGACTTGGCTCTTTGACGTTCAATGTACTCTTGCATTGCAGGAGTACATTTGAAATCCTCTGGTGTTTGTCATTTGAGAAGCATTCGATTGGAGGAGCAGGGTGCTTGCCATGCATATGCATCTCGTCCACAATGCTTCTCTAAAAAAGTCAGCCTGCTGGAAGACGAGACGGGAGGTCTAGCAGTCGGCTGCGCAGACTAAGTCTCAGCACTGGAAACAAAAGTAAATAAAGGGTTCTTTACTGTAAAATTTTTAAAGCGAAAAGTGTGGGGGACGGGGTCAAAACTAAGCCAATAAAGATGCTTAAGAATATTAATGTTGAAATAATAGTTTTCCTTCAAAGTGATTATCGGGATGTACTATATGCATCTGCACCGCAATCCCAAATTAATAAACTCAATACATAGTTTAACTCATTCTGCCGATTTGTGCTACAATGTAATTACAGGACCCACCATTGTGACATGCTAAAAGAACTAAACTGGCTGTCGCTGGAATCCAGATGCACCCTTCATCTTTCCAGCCTTGTGTTTAAAAGCTTTTCTGGGAAACTCCCACCCTACCAGAGCAAAATGCTCTCCTCGACTATTCACCCCTACTATAACCTCCTATCCGGTACCAGCACTTTATTTAGTCTACCTCAATACAAAAAGAAAGCAGCCCGATCCTTCTTCTCCTACAGAGCGCCACAATTGTGGAACGACCTCCCGCACACTTTAAAATCTTCCCCAAGCCTAAAGTCCTTTAAGATATCCCTCTCTACACACCTCAAAACAGAATCCACGGGATATGGATGATTATATATTTACTACCTATTCCATGTTAAATTGTATGTATATTGTGTATTAATATTGTTTTTGTATTTTACTGTACCATAATGTATCAATGCAATGTTTTGTAGACCCAGGACATACTTGAAAACGAGAGAAATCTCAATGTATCTTTACTGGTAAAATATTTTATAAATAAACTAGAAAAGCTACAATTTCTGGGGAAATTGTGTGAAGTGTTCTTGCCTCCACCAGTAGTCTACAAATAGGGATCAAGTGATTATCGGTTCTACCGATATTATTGGCCGATATTCGGTATTTTCGGCAATATTGGTATCGGCCACTAAGGATGAGAGGAGTAGGATGGGCCGCTACTACTGCGGTAAATGAGAGGAGTAGGATGGGCCGCTACTACTGCGGTGAATGAGAGGAGTAGGATGGGCCGCTACTACTGCGGTGAATGAGAGGAGTAGGATGGGCCGCTACTACTGCGGTGAATGAGAGGAGTAGGATGAGCTGCTTTTAGTACAATTGTGAATAAAAGTGGGGGAATGGGCTGCTGCTACTACTGGGCAGAGTAGGGAGAGAACAGGCTACCAAAGCTGTTAGTAGGTACACAAAACCTTTAACTTACACTCCTTATGTTGTGTACTGCACAACTGTATTGTAATTACCATATGTGCCGACATGCAAGTCAATATTTTAAGCATAAAAAATCTCCCAAAACAGAGGTCTACAACCAAGTTGAAAATAAAGTTGATATCTGGCCATTATTTACTCTTCATATATAAATGACAGGAGAACTAGAACTGGACATTACCACTTGCGGTATCATATCAGTAGTATGTAAAAACGCTGACTGACTGGAGAGATATACACTCATCAACTATTTGCAAAAAAAACACTATATGCCTTTTGTTTGTTTACGTTTAAACTCTGACCATCTTAAAGGACCACTATAGTGCCAGGAAAACATACTCGTTTTCCTGGCACTATAGTGCCCTGAGGGTGCCACTAGAGGATTAGGGGGAAGGCTTAAACCATTCATAAACATAGCAGTTTCAATAAACCCAGCACACACTGTAATGTGATAGGTAACCATATACAAAATGTTGAAAAGGTTGGGCAATACAGACATTGCTATAATTAAAAACATCCTTGATACATTAACCACAAATTTACAAATATCTCTGAAACTGCTATGTTTATGAAAAAATGGGTTAACCCTAGCTGGACCTGGCACCCAGACCACTTCATTAAGCTGAAGTGGTCTGGGTGCCTAGAGTGGTCCTTTAAAGGGACTCTCCAGGCAGCAGTTTTAACTTACCTGGTTCCAGCGCCGGGAGCCTCATGAAAAAATACAGTGTTTACATTAGATTGCCTGCAGGGAGCTATAGATCATACCTGAACATATACATTAAGCTGTAGTTGTTCAGGTGACTTTAGTGTCCCTTTAATAATTGTTTACAGTAAGTAAAACAACATTTATATGTAACTGAACTATTTGTTGACTTCTGCTTCCTACCCTAGCCACAAATTATTATTATTATTGGTATTTATATATTTACAATATTATGAAAGGGAGGGCATATCTATGAATCAGGGAAGAAATGTAAGAAGGGCTAGAGCTTTATAGGTAAGGGTTAGTATTAACACCTATATGATACAGGAAGCCAGTGCAAGGATCGACAGAAGGGCGAGGTATGGGAGGAAAGACGAGTGAGAAAGATCAGCCTGGCGGCAGCATTCATTACCAATTGTAGCAGGGCAGTTCGGCTTTTGCAGAGACCAACTAGGAGAGAAGTACAGTAATCCATGCAAGAGATTACCAGAGCATGAACAAGCTCCTTGGCAGCCTCTTGCGTGAGAAAGGGGTGGATGCGGGCAATATTTTTAAGGTGAAATCAACAGGTTTTAGCAACATCTTTAGTGTATGAGTCCGCATGCCTGGCCTATGCCCAAAAGTGGCACATTATTTTAGGGGTCGACTTATCCAGCGAATATAGGCCTAAGCGTCCAACTTCTTACTTTTAGTTTGGGGGAGGACTTATATGCTGGCACATATGATACATTTTTACCGACTCCAGGAACCCAAAAATGTTTCCAACTCCACAGCACTGCATTCTACATCCTGAAAGGGGAGGATGTGTAGGCAACGGCATTACTACAGAAAAAGGGAGGGAGGAGGCAGAATAGGCTACTAATGAGAAGAGAGACAAGAGAAGGACAGGCAGGGGAAATGCGCTACTTTTAAGAAGGAGAGGATTGGAGGGGATGGGCTACTATTAGGAAGAAGAGGAGGGGTATAGAAATGGGCTACTTTTGGATAGGAGAGGACAGGGGTGAGGAGGAAATGGGCTTCTACTGGGAGAATATGCTACTATTAGGAAGGGTACTATAGAACAACTTATTGGCATTATTCTGTTTCCCTCAAAGCATTCTGAGAGAAAGTTTAGTTACCACAAATCAAGTGCCGGGCGAAGCTCCCCAACACTGCTCGTCTCACCTCTGTGTGACCTCACAGAGTCCGCGTCAAGGTACATTCGAAGGCTTCTCACAGAGAAGACTTTAATTGGAGGATTTAAATGGCAGAGTGTATGCACAAACTCAGCGTGTACGATGAGAAGGAAAAGGAGGGAATAGAGCAGGAGAGAGGGCGGTCAATTACAAATATAGACGTGATAGGGCAGCAGGAGGACTTTCTTCAGTCTGGGTGGGAGGAAACACAAGAGCTTTTCCCTTGCAGGCTCTGCCTTTTGGCAGTGTGTGCTGACAAAGTATGCACAGTATTGACAATGAAAAGCCCAGAACAGAGTTCTGGGCTGCCTAAGTCACATGTGCTTGGAGTGCAATGTGTACCAAGAAGACAATTAAAAATTATCTCAAATATCTCTGTGCATCGTTTTAAGCTGATCTAGACTCCTACCACCATGATCACTTCAAAAAGCAGAAGTGGTCATGGTGGTTGGAGCAACCCTTTAATTAAACAGTTTTGGTGTATAGATCATGCCCCTGCAGTCTCACTGCTCAATTATCTGCCAATTAGCAGTTCAATTACTTAGGTTTCTGTTTTTGCAACCATAGCCACACCTCCGCTGGCTGTGACTCACACGGCTTGCATTAAAAAAGTGGTTTCATTTTCAATCAGATCTTAACTTGCTTTAAATGTTTTTGTCCCCTGCTCTGTAAATGTAACTTTAAAAAACCACACAGAAGGCTGCAGAGTCTTGAAGGCTATTAACAGACCAAGAGATAAGAAATTCTAAATTAAACAGACTGTGCAATTAAGGAAGTTTAAACATTAGATACCTCTTTACAGTATTCAGGAAGGCAGTCCAGGTTGCATGCAGGGAGATGTGACTAGGACTGTATAACAAAGTGAATTAAATCATAAATGGCAGAGAACGGATCAGTGAGTTTGCAGGAACATAATATACACACTAAAGCTGCTGTATTAAGCTAAAGTGGTTTTAGTGCCTATAGAGTCCCTTGAACCATGGAAACAATTGGCTTAGCATACAGTCCGACTACCAAAAGAGTTTTTTTTGTTTTTTTTTTAAACAAAATATTGCATCAACAGAAGCATTTACATCCATTCCAATAAATATTCATGAAGGCCTGTGTTCTCTCCAGGTTATGTCACATTATAGATGTAATGCCAATTCTGTTAAACAGATGCTTTGTATTTTTCATATATAAATTCTGAATAAAAAAAAAAAAAAGGGGAATTAGTTTGATGTACACACATTTTGTTATAGAACAGTCACTAGAACAGTGAATTGTGAAACAACATTTTTCCATTTTATTAAATATAGTGATGTGTACTTCCAGCTTAGTGTTGATTTCTACACACCTGTCTATGTGACCGTACATACTTTGAGTGTCATAGGGGAGGGGAGGTGTTTATTTACTAAACATTGAATTACAAAATGAAGACCAAAACAGCCCAAAATCTGCCAAATCAGCTATAACAGCTTAAATTTTGCATTTTTTTTATATTAACTCCGTTAGACTTAATGTATTTAAAATACTCACACATTTATCTACTTTAAAAATTGTATATTATATATATATATATATTTTTTATTACTGGTATTTATTTAGCGCCAGCGCTTTATAATATTATCAAAAGTGGGAGCGTTAACTATAAATGAGACAATTACAGGAACAATAGGTTGAAGAGGGCCCTGCTTAAACAAGCTTACAGTCTATAGGAGTTAGGACGCCAATTACAATATTATAAGAGGGGGGAATTTAACTATAAATATTTGTGATGCTGGCATCATCTGGCAATATATATATATATATATATATATATATATATTTTTTTTTTTATTAATGCCAATTCACAAGACAAACTATAAAATGAACGGATTGCCCAAGTGCAAATCTAAAAACTGGAACACAATAAGTGAGCTGGGGTTAGATTACAGCTCTACGTACTCACATCTGGCAAATATTTCACTTTTTGTAGTTTCTTCCCCCTCATCCTTCCTGCTTTCGTGAGATCTCAAACACCAATAAAAGGTAAACAGGCATTTAAGTTGTAAAATGGGTATGTTTAAAACCTGATGTTACCTTATTGTCCATTTGCACAGAGAGGGATTTCTTTCCATGCTGGGAATGATTTGTAGGCACTGAGCAAGAATGACAGAAACACTGCCAGATGATGCCAGCATCAAAATATATATATATATATATATATATATATATATATATATATATATATATATAATTTTTTTATTTTTTTTTTACACATCATGCAACTTATGCTATTGGTTTAGTGGGACCATTTTACAGCACACATTAGAATCCAGAAAAAAAAGAAAAGTGTGCATACTGATTTTCTGTAATAGAGGAAAGATTAGTAAATTATTCACAAGTGTTTGATGGGATGAACTCTGGTAACAGTGCTCATTCTAAGCCAAGTTTCTTTGGTACACAATAATTCTGGGAAAATTAGAAAAAGTAATTCATCTTTTATGTGTCTTGATTTATAGAGTACATAATATGTATAGGATTTCAGCTTATTTTGAAAGTTACTAAAATAAAATTTCTATATGAAACCATTTTAGAAGATGGTATGTTTGTCTTGTAGGTTTAGTAGCCATTACCTAAGGTTAGTTTGACACTTTTTTACGTAGCCATTTCATCGCCAATCTCTGCTAAATATTGGAGCAAAATTGTGTTTTCTCTCTATTTTGGCATATACACACATAACAAGGTTTTTGTAATGTGTATTTCGTAAAGTTGGTGTGTGCTATTCCTGCATAGCACCCCATATTGTGTTCAGCTACATCTGCTGTTTATAACCATACCCCCATTGTATGCCTTTAGCACTATTCTGTGAAGCTACAATGCCGTATAAGAGACAAGGCTATTTCAGTTTCTATAGTTAGAATTTTCATAGATCCATCATATCCATCTATGTCTCATTTTGGGGTATTATCGTTGTTTGACTGTTCAAATAACCCTACAAAGGGCTTCCATTTGATAAAGCAGACAGCCCAGGGTATCTTATATGGTGTGTATTGTGCCTTAACGTGTCACTATTTGTTCACCAATTTAGGTCAATGTTTGAGGTGAGGTTAAATAAAATGGCATTTTTACATACATGTTTCATTTTCCAGAGTATCGCATATACTCGAGTATAAGTCGACACCCCTAATTTTACCCCCCCAAAATGGGAAAACGTATTGACTCGAGTATAAGACTTGGGTGGGAAATGCAGCAGCTACTGGTAAATTTCTAAATAAAATTAGATCCCCAAAAATGATATTAATTGTTTATTTACAGTGTGTGTATACAATGAATGCAGTGTGTGTATATATAATGCAGTGTGTATGTGTGTGTATGTGATGCAGAGCCTTGGTGGGGGGGCGGGGGGGGCATTTTTATTATTATTTTTTAATTATATATATTTTTTATTATATCATTATTTAATTTTTTATTTATATTTATTTTTGTCCCCCTCCCTGCTTGTTAGCTGGCCAGGGAGGGGGGCTCTCATTCCCTGGTGGTCCAGTAGATGGGCTGTGTAGCAGGGGGGCTGGCAGCTAGCTGTAACTTACCTTTCCTGCAGCTCCTGTCAGCTCCCTTCTCTCTCCTCCGGTCAGCTCCCTTCTCCTCCACTGTAAGTTTCGTGGCCGCGCGGAGCGTTCCCCGCGGCTCTCGCGAGATTTACAGTGGAGCTGACCGGAGGAGAGAAAAGGGAGCTGACAGGAGCTGCAGGAAAGGTAAGTTACAGCTCTCTGCCAGCCCCCAACAGGACACCTGGGCTTGTAATGAGCCCGGCGGTCCTGGTCTGTATTATGGCAATGTAAGTTGACATAATACAGACAGTGACTCGAGTGTGGGTTTTTCAGCACAAAAAATGTGCTGAAAAACGCGACTTATACTCGAGTATAGAAGGCATTTCTTACACTTGATATGTACCACTGTCAGAAAATCCCCTAAATTATGCTCTGATACATCTTCTGAGTAATACACTATGCCCAATATATGACAGAGACTATTTTGTGAAGTTACAGTGCTGTAAAAGAGACGTGACAAGTTCAGGTTTTTAAGTGTGAATTTTCATGGAGGGTTTTTATGTGTCCGTGTCCCACTTTGGAGCACTTAAGCAAGCTACATATTCCAGCTACACCATAAAGGCATACCATTTCTTAAAGAAGACATGCCAGGGTATTTCAAAAGGCATATTTTGAACCTTAGTGTGGGATCATTTTTCAAGCGGCAGGGAAGGGGTTAATTTTTATTAGGAGTGGGATTTTTTACACTTTTTTTTTTTTTTAAACATTATTAAAACATTTTCCTTTTACTTTAAAAAAAACAAAAAAAACCTTTAACATTAACCCTTAGCTAGCCTAACACCGAATTCCATAATTCCCCACTAACTTCCACCCACCCCAGCTAGCTAAATATATATATTTATTTATATTTCAAATATTTAAATTAATAAAATTTATTTAATCCCTAAGGTTTAAATTTTTAAAAGTTAACTCTAAAAAAATCAAATTACAGTAAAATGTAGTCCCTGCCAATTGACCACCGAAGTCAGTGATCGATTGGCAGAAGGGGTTAATCCATTAATGGATGGGGGGAGGGGGGGATGAGATTTTAAACTAACTTTATTTTATTTTTTTCACACAGGGAGATCACTGCTGGTCCATTTCCCTGCACTTCACACTGAACGCGGAAGCACAGGGAGGTGGATCAGAAGTCCCTGCAGCACTTGTGCACACTCTGACAGCCTGCCAGAGCATTTACAGCTGCAGGGAGTGCACGTTCGGGTGCTCCGGTTCTGCTTCGAATACCGAGGCAGACCAGAGGAGTTTTAACTTTAGTAAATCACGGAAATTTTCCGTCATGCGTCCTTAACGGTAGGTCTGCACATGCCGGCTATTCGATCGCAAGGACCCTGCGATCACATGGCCGGGTTGCCCGGATCAGATGCAGGGGGAATACCTGGGGTCCAGTGTGTTATCCTGTAATCTTCCTTCTCTACTCCGTGTATCATCGCTGTTTAGGGATGCCAGGGCCAGAGAGTGATGTTCCCGGCATCAAAGCAGGGTGCAAGAGATCAGAGCAAGTAAAACAGATAGATAACAGCTCCATCGCCGCCACCTCCATTCCTCACAGTCACCTGCCTCAGGGGGCCATAAGGTGCCTGCTGACCAGCTCTTGTGCATTCCATAACAGACGGAACACAAAGGGCGCGATCCCACTGGTGACCCCTGTAGTTCTGTCACTGTACATTATGTGCAACGTCAGGCATCGGTGTAAGCAGTGTTACAATCACCCAGGATATAATTCTTAGTCACCCAGGCCTGGGATTTGTTGAGACTGAACTAAGTGATGCTTATTCACATTTTGACATGCACACCTTAAGCTATGTTTTAATAGATCTTATCATATATTGCAATAAGATTTTAAGCACCTATTGAGCATTATGCTGGAAAATGCACGTTGCCATCAGTCGTTGCAAGCGACGGTGGAGGAAATTTGGCTCATAACCACATTTTGCCAAATCATTTGTACATAATACAAATTAATCATTGTTTCACCAATAAAAAACAACATTCACTTTACAAAAAGCCTCTAAAGTGGCAGATTTATAAAATATTTACAAATCTGATATTAACAAAATAGATTTCCTCCTTCAGAATACAAAGATCACGCAGGAAGCGCTAATCATGCATTTTTTTTTTTTTCATGCCACACGTCAAACATTATGTTGGCCAAGTCACTTTCTCCTGTTAAGCTCCCTATATGTGGAACAACCTGTCACAGAAGATTAAACCTGCCACCAGTCTGAAATCCCCGAAAATATCTGCATGCATTTACCTTTAAAAGGGATACTATAGTCACCAGAAAAACTACAACTTAATGTAGTGGTCCTGGTGTGTATAGTATGTTCCTGCTGGCTTTTTAATGTAAAAACTGCCTTTTCAGAAAAAGGGCAGTGTTTAAATTATTACCTAGGAAACTCTAGTGCAGTCACTAAGACAGCCACTAAAGGTGCTTCCTGTGTCAGTGCTGCACAGTGTGGAGGTACTGATCATTTCCCATAAAGATCCACTGATCTAAGGAGATGCCAGCTGGTGCTGTGCTTTGCTACGCATTGGATTGGCTGAGATCATCAAGCTTGATCTGAGCCAAGGATGCGAAGCCAGCCGCAACAAGACTGGCATGTGTGAGAGGGGGACCAGAGGCCTAAATAGTGTTATCACAACTAAAGTGTCAGGAATACAGGTTTGTATTCCTGACACTATAATGTTCCTTTAATAAATCCACCCCCCCCCCGCCCCAAAAAAAACAAAAAAAACTCATTGTTAATTTATAATTGTATCTGTATATATCCTGCCTGGAAAAATAATATTATAAAATAAATGTAAAGATCATAGAGAGGGAATAACTTCAGAAGAAAAATCAGATACAGATAGCCTGAATTCAAAGTGTTTTGCCTAATCATAAAATTGTATTGAATTATTTTATATTGAGTCAGCTCTGCCACTCTCCACCTACAAGCTATATATTCTTCGACAATTCAAATCTATAATCCAGAGAAATTCCACAGCTTGGAATTCTCAGGATATCCTCAATTCAGTCCAACCAAGTAAATTAGTACTTTTGCATTTTAATGCACCCATCTGTGTTCAAAAGAGGATATCCTCCCCCCTCAGGGCTCTTGGCACTCACTACGGGCAACTCAGGGAGACATCGTATGAGCAACTTACCTATCCTGAGACCCGGCCTGGGGTGCTACCAATCGACACTGAGGACCTAGTGCTGAAACCATCTAACTGGCAAAGCGGCTCCAACAGTAATCAGGCTGCAAGCTGGTGTGATCCCACGATGCCAAACTACACGCACGATAGCCGTGGATCACTACGAAGACCCTGCACATACCCAGCTCCCAAACGGCTGATAATACCTGACAAGCCACACCACAGCATCAGGGAATTATTCACAGATGGAGCCGAGAAACAAAGAATTGTAACCTGCCAGCTCTCTGCATGAAGACTGGGGCTGCCTACACCCTGACTCCTGAACAGCAACAATCAGGCTCCTGTTCACCTTTCCACAGAGAAGAGAGACTCTGTCTGGGGTCCCAGGGTTCTTTAATCACTGTGGCATGATTTCCTCAGTCCTTTTTTATGCAAACACTAGCCATGCCATACTGCCTTGCATATTTGTCTTTCTCACCTAACCTACTGCAATCTATGACTTCACTTTCTTTTTCCTTTTTTTCTTTCATTTCCTTTTCTGATGCCTGCTGTCAAGTGCAGACTCAGTATTAGTACCCTGACAGATAAGCGAGACTAGCCTGCAAAGGCTTGTATGTTAGTCACTGTTTATAATGAGCTCACTAACTTAGTTAATACAACTAAACGGATTGAACAAACTATGTATATGCCTTAATAATCTTAACCTTGCTTGTTAATCTTGGTACCGTGCAAACATATACTAAGCGAGATCTTTATCGTTACTTGTTCTATATCTGCGTCTATCTTTACTCCTGTGACTCCTACTTAAACAAGCACGACTAGCCTGTGTATTGATATACTTAAAAACTGTGCCACTTTCTCATGCCATATAAATGCTCTACATTGTTATCACTGTTTGCTTATGCTGTTGTGGCATCGTGAACCTCTGTATTATCCAGTGCACAGCAAAAAATAAAGAATTAAAAAAAAAAAAAAAAGAGGATATCCTGAAAACACTCAGCTCTAAGCCCACTTAGATTTTAGCAAGAAGAAATTTTATATATATATATATATATATATATATATAAAAAAAAAACAAACAAACAAAAAAAAAACATACAAAATCCTACGAACTTGCTCATTCATGAAACAGCGATTTCAAGTTTCACAGAATGTAATAGTTTTATTTAAAAACACATCACCTAGGCAAAAAATAATGGGGGTTTAGTTACAGTATATGATCATACATTGCATAAGCCTACAACGTCAATGTACCCCATTCTTGGCAGATCCTACTCTAGCAGCCTAATGCCTGCACATACATACATACAAATATTATTTTTTTTTTTTTTTTTAGATATTTCAGTCGTATAATGGAGTTAAAGCGGCACTGTCACTGTCTGGGAACCCGGTGGCAGGGTTGGGTCGGTATATCTCGACTTGGTCTTTCAGCCAACTTTACTAATATAAAGAAAAAGTTACGTAGTATTAGTTTCAAAAAAAGGGAGGTTAAAATCTCCCTCCTGCCCTACTTGCTGTGAGGCGAGTAGGGGCATATTTACTAAACAGTGAGCAACCAGTGGCTGCTCACTGTCATAAAAATAAAGAAAAAACGCCCCCAATCCAATAAAGGGGAACCTGTCACAGGTTTCCCATGCTGCCATGAAAGGGCACCTATAATAATTAACAATAATTTAGGGGGGATGGGGGAGGGAGAAACATAATATCCGCCTCCAGCACCCACCCGTGCCCTTTGAGTGAGGGCTATTAAACAATATGGGGGACTTAATGCCCCCCATCCATTAACGCCTGATAGAAGCCCTAAATACTAATGCAGGGTGTCCCCTGGCACCCACCTATTAGTAGCGAGTGGGAGGGACCTATCCAAAAGGTAAATTGAACCTATGATAAGTACTAAAACAAAAGTACTGCCAAACAAGATAACATTGTATATCATATGCATTTGAGTATCCCAGTGAAAATGTATGAATTCACAGATTATTTGCCACAGCAGCCACTCTTACTTTGCAATGATAACTTAAAGGACCACTATAGGCACCCAGACCACTTCAGCTTAATGAAGTGGTCTGGGTGCCAGGTACCTCTAGGATTAACCCTTTTTTAAATAAACATAGTTTCAGAGAAACTGCTATGTTTATGTTAGGGTTAATCCAGCCTCCCAATCCTCTAGTGGCTGTCTGATTGACAGCCGCTAGAGGCGCTTGCGTGATTCTCACTGTGAAAATCACAGTGAGAACACGCAAGCGTCCATAGGAAAGCATTGAGAATGGTTTCCTATGAGACCGGCTGAATGCGTGCGCAACTCTTGCCGCGCGTGCGCATTCAGCTGAAAGGGATGAGAGGAGGCGGAGAGCGCTGGAATAAAGGTGAGTTTTAACCCTTTCCTCTCCCCAGAGCCGGGCAGGATTGGGACCCTGAGGGTGGGGGCACCCTCAGGGCACTAGTGCCAGGAAAACGAGTATGTTTTCCTGGCACTATAGTGGTCCTTTAAAGGGACACTATTGGCTCCCTGTCAGCAAGGTAATGGGGTGTTTTTACTCAACTTTTTTTCAGCACCATTCAGGGTCTCCTCTCGGTTTGCCCCGCACTCGCTTCGCCTCCTTGTCTGAGATCCAACTTGACGATCTCAGTTGGAAAGCATTGGACGGCTATAGCACATGCATGGCATTTCACTGCGCCAATCAGCGTCTCCTCATAGAGATGCAGAGTGTGGAGACGCTGAACGTCAGTGCTGCACACAGCTTGTGCTGTGGTTGTTATAGTAACTGTATAGCCGGGACTGCTATTGCCGACTAGGGAGAATAGGCCTCACATCATTCCATTCAGACGCGGACATGCTGTCTGAAAGTATCCTCACACAGGGCAAATCAACTAATAGGTGAGGGGGGCGGGGGGCGCAGGCTGACTGGAGGTGAGTGTTAAAGAAGTGTAACACTTACCTCTGTAAGGAGATTGTGTGTACCTTTAACTCGCTTGAACATTCCTACATTATAAAAGTGCTACAGCAAGCAATAAACACAATATTCAAATTCAGAAGCTTAGCATCAACCCTGTTTTAAAGCCCTTGAAAGTTAAATACAAAACACTTGACTTCAAATAAATAAATAAAAATTGGGATTTTGTTACACGATCACAGTTATGCACTAAAGTGAGAACTGAATTTGAAATTTAAGGCCAAAATAGCCAAATCTGGAAAAATTCTCTAAGTCAGCTAGGCTTTCAATTCAGCTACTACGGCCTAAAAAAAATTTAATTCTCATGATCACACATCAAGCAATGTATCATGTGTATGAACTGATCCTGATGAAAGCCACAAACGATGGCTGAAACGTTGATTATGATTATGTTTTAACAAGAAATGGAATAAAGAAAGAAATTTTACAAAGGAGAAAGACAGTGAGTGCAAGCCTCTTTTCACTATCTCTATTATAATTTTTGGCTGTGGTTAGAATGCACCCGGCATTTGGAAGAACTTAAAAATGTGTGTGCAAGGCCAAAAAGGAATATTATATATATATATTGTACAGTGCTACAAAATCTGATCTGATATACATACATACATACACACATTCGAAGAATATATAGCTTGTAGGTGGAGAGCTGACTTAATATAAAATAATTCCATACAATTTAGTGATTAGGCTAAACACTATATTATATATATATATATATATATATATATATATATAAAATTTAGATTTTCTTGGAGTATGGCACTTATTGATAAATGAAAGAAACATTCCATTCTAAGAATGCCAGGAGTTACAGCACACCAGACAGTGCCAGGCAGACACTGGTACTCCTGCTGTTGGTAAGGACTACAACTCCCATGATGTTCAGCCCCCCCCCCTCAGCACAGAGCTGCCACTGACAGCCACACTCACCATGGTGCTCTCTCTCTCTCTCACAGCCACATCACACTTCCTTGTCACCGGTCGCGCTGAGTGACGTCACCTCCGCCCGCTCCCTGATTGGACGGTTGGTATTACCCGCGCTGGCTAGGAAGGAGAGAGGGGAGGGGCGGGGGATATTCGAAGCGTTCTTACGGGTTCCTTGTTGAATCTGCCGCTTGGTTGCTAGGCTGTGTGACGTCACGCACCCCGGCGGAATTTTCCGATTGGCTGAGCGCAGCCTAGCTTGTGATGTTGACTGCTGTGTCCTGGGAAGTGCTGGAAGCAAGTTACGTTGGCCAGTGAGGTAGGCCTGGTGGGGGGAGGGAATGGGATGAGCCCCCATTGACAGACTTATAACGGTTTACTGTATGGTGAAAGGAATAACACTGTTATAACACTGGCAGGGAGGCTGGAGGCAGCTTAGCACAATGATGGCTGGCTGAGCATTCTGGGAAATGTAGTCAGCTGCTAATGGAGAGCCAGTCCACTACAAGGGGAGAGCAGCCCCCTCTCACTAATTATCAATGCATGGGGAATACAAAATAATAAATAAAATATGGAATTCTGGCTGGAGATCTCTGTGTTTACAATTATACAGGTCACATGGCTATTGTTTATTCAGAATATTTATTATTATTATTATTATTATTATTATTATTATGATGTTATTATTTATAGAGCGCCGTCAAATTCCGCAGCGCTTTACAATGGGTGGACGAACAGACATGTAGTTGTAACCAGACAAGTTGGATACACAGGAACAGAGGGGTTGAGGGCCCTGCTCAATGAGCTTACATGCTAGAGGGAGTGGGGTAAAATGACACAAAAAGGTAAGGAGAGTATTAGACTAGTGATAGTTGCAGAAGAGGAATCAGTCAGGAGCTATTAACAGTTTAATTGATACGCTTTTATGAAGAAGTGGGTTTTTAACGATTTTTTGAATGAGTGGATACTGGGTGAGCATCTAACGGAGGAGGGAAGTGAGCTGTATAATGGGCTTTATATACTGAGAGAATGACTCTGTAATGGGTGAAATATAAACAATTCAAAGGGGTTCATTCATAAAGCTGTACCAAGTATAGGTACAAAATTCAGGATTAAAGGGTTACTGTAGGCACCCAGACCACTTCAGTGCATTGAAGTGGTCTGGTTGCCAACTCCCATCACCCTTAACCCTAGAGTGGTAATTATTGCAGTTTTTATAAACTGCAATAATTACCTGCTAGGGTAAACTCCTTCGACTTTTGGTCATCTAAACAACACTAGCGTGAGGACCTCCAGCGTCACTGGAATCCCCATAGAAAAGTATTGAATTACGCATTCCTATGGGGAAATCCCAATGAGAGCGCGGCCATTCCTGCGCATGGGCATTAGGTCCCCCCCCCCCTGGTCGGCGGGGTAGGAGCAGAGAAACATTGTTAGTGTGTTTAAATGAGGAAATGCTGATTGGGTTTTGATGCACATGCTCAATAGCCTTCCACTGCTTTCCTATGGGAAAACATTGGATTGACTGAGATAGTAAAAACTGATGGTCTCAGCCGTGGCGAGACAAGCATGGTGATGGAGAAAAGGTAAAATCTTAATACTCCACAGAGACGCAAGGCCAGCAACCTAAATATCCATTCAAGTACTATAGTGTTAGGAATGCTTGTTTGTATTCTTAACACTATAGTGTTCCTTTAAGAACCACTGACTTTGCATTATTAGACTTTATACAATAAGCACATTTTGTTGTAAAATGTGCAATTCTCTTAGCAGTTGTCCACAATTCTCTGTCATTTATTAAACTCAGTATTGTGGCGAAATTGCTAATTTTATGCCGAAATTTTATTTCATAGCCACTATTTCTCCAGCTCTGCCATTTGTATAGCAAATAAACAAAACTAAAATACAATTTACTGTTCTTGTTTTCATATATACAGTGTTGTGAAAATGTTTCCCTCTTCATAATGTTCTTTGTTTTTGTATATTTTTCATGCTGAATGGTTTGAGGTCTTCCTAGTGAATGCAATATAAAAACATGACATTAAAGATTTAACCCCTTAAGGACCGAGGACGGTTCAGGACAGTCATCGGAATTTTCCCATTGCCGACCGCTGACGATCCTGAACCGTCCTAACGGTCCTAGTTACTTAACTGATCGCGGTCGTTCCCCCCGTTTATTAATATAAAAATACACTTATAATTAAATTACACAAGTATATATATAATATAATAACTATATATATTGTGTGTGTGTGTGTGTGTGTGTGTGTGTGTGTATATATATATATATATATATATATATATATATTATAAAATATAAATAAGTAATTTAAATTACATTTTTTTAAATAATAAAAATTGAAAAAAATTATATATCTATATGAAATTGTATTCTAACTGTATTTTAAAATTAATATATATATATATATATATATATATTTATATCAAAATACACTTAGAATGAATTTGTATATATATCTATGTATATATAAATAAATAAAAATAATGCAAAATATACAAATCTCCATATACAAAATTACATTAATAATTATATAAATATACATGTACACTTCAAATATATAAATATGCATATATATTTAAATTCTACGTGCGTATTTATGTAATATTTTTACATACATTAATAATTATATAAATATACATGTACACTTCAAATATATAAATATGCATATATATTTAAATTCTACGTGCGTATTTATGTAATATTTTTACATACCGTATATACTCGAGTATAAGCCGACCCGAATATAAGCCGAGGCCCCTAATTTTACCCCAAAAAACTGGGAAAACGTATTGACTCGAGTATAAGACTAGGGTGGGAAATGCAGCAGCTACTGGTAAATTTCTAAATAAAATTAGATCCTAAAAAAATTATATTAATTGAATATTTATTTACAGTGTGTGTATATGATGAATGCAGTGTGTGTGGATGAATGCAGTGTGTGTGTATGAATGCAGAGTGTGTGTATGAATGCAGTGTGTGTATGAATGCAGTGTGTGTATGAGTGCAGTGTTTGTGTATGAGTGTGCAGTGTGTGTGTATGAATGCAGTGTGTGTATATGAGTGCAGTGTGTGTATATGAGTGCAGTGTGTGTGTATGAGTGCAGTGTGTGTGTGTGTATGAGTGCAGTGTGTGTGTGTGTGATGCAGTGTGTGCTTGTGTGGCAGAGCCTTGGTGGAGGGGTGGGCATTTTTATAAAAATAAAAAAAAATATTATTTTAATTTTTTTTGTTATATTATTTTTTTTATTATTATTATTATTTATATATTATTAATATTTAAATTTTTTGTTATATTATTTTTTTATTATTATTATTATTTATATATTATTAATTAATATTATTTAAATTTTTTTGTTATATTATTTTTTTTAATTATTATTATTATTATTTATATATCTTTAATTTATTTATTTTTCGTCCCCCGTCCCTGCTTGATACATGGCAGGGAGGGGGGCTCTCCTTCCCTGGTGGCCCAATGGCATTGGCAGTTCAGTGGGGGGAGGAGGGTGGCTGGCAGAGCTGTTACTTACCTCTCCTGCAGCTCCTGTCAGCTCTCTCCTCCACCGCGCTGGTCCGTGCAGCTCCTCTCTCAGCTCACACTGTAAGTCTCGCGAGAGCCACACTATGACCCCGCGGCTCTCGCGAGACTTACACTGGGAGCTGACCGAGGTGCTGACCGGACCGGCGCGGAGGAGGAGAGAGCTGACAGGAGCTGCAGGAGAGGTAAGTAACAGCTCTGCCAGCCCCCAGTCTGTATTATGGCAATGTAAATTGCCATAATACAGACTGACTCGAGTATAAGCCGAGTTGGGGTTTTTCAGCACAAAAAATGTGCTGAAAAACTCGGCTTATACTCGAGTATATACGGTAAGTCATTTTATTGATTGCAATTTGAGGGAACTTCCTGCCAACCCAGGCCAAAAGTCCAGAGAATTTAATTTGCTAGCACTGTATTTTACCCTGTAACGTTCTACGACACCCTAAAACCTGTACATGGGGGGTACTGTTTTACTTGGGAGACTTCGCTGAACACAAATATTAGTGATTCAAAACAGTAAAACATCACAGCGATGATATTGTCAGTGAAAGTGACTTTTTTTGCATTTTTCACACACAAACAGCACTTAAACTGATGATATTGTTTGTGTTACGCTTTCCAGTTTTTAAACACTAATATTTGTGTTCAGCGATGTCTCCCGGGTAAAACAGTACTCCCCATGTACAGGTTTTATAGCATTTTTGAAAGTTACAGGGTCAAATATATGGGTCAAATATTTTTACATTGAAAATGGCCAGGTTGGTTAAGTTGCCTTTGAGAGCGTATGGTAGCCCAGGAATGAGAATTAACCCCATGATGGCATACCATTTGCAAAAGAAGACAACCCAATGTATTGCAAATGGGGTATGTCCAGTCTTTTTTAGTAACCACTTATTCACAAACACTGGCCAAAATTAGAGTTCAATTTAGTTTTTTTACTTTTTTTCACACACAAACAAATATGAATGCTTACTTTGGCCAGTGTTTTCGACTAAGTGGCTACTTAAAAAGACTGGACATACCCCATATTGAATACCCTGGGTTGTCTACTTTAAAAAAAATATGTACATGTGGGATGTTATTCAGAGATTTATGACAGATATTAGTGTTACAATGTCACTATTGATAAATTTTAAAAATGTATGCTTTGAAACCGCAATATCCTACTTGTACTTATAGCCCTATAACATGCAAAAAAAAAGCACGTAAACACTGGGTATTTTTAAACTCAGGACAAAATTTTGAATCTATTTAGCATTTTTTTCATTCGCTTTTGTAGATGAGTAAAAGATTTTTCACGTAAAAGTAAAAAAAAAATGTATTTTTTTCAATTTTTCATCATTTTTTTTTATTTTTTTTAAATTAAAATACATGAGATGATATAAATAATGGTATGTAAAGAAAGCCCCTTTTGTCCTTAAAAAAACAATATATAATTTGTATGAGAACAGTAAATGAGAGAGCAGAAAATTACAGCCAAACACAAACATCACAAAAGTTTAAAAATATGCCTGGTCGCAAATGTACAACATCGCAAAAACAGTCCAGTCCTTAAGGGGTTAAAGGAGAAATGATTTTAATAATCTGTTTACATGTCCTGTATATTTAAGAAATATGTTTTTGTGAAGTTTAACAAATAAAATGAAACGTAGATTGCCATTCTGAGCGACTTCATTCTAGATCCCTGTGAATCATCTTTATTAATGTTGCTATTTTATGCCATTGAACATAGTGAGGGAAAGGAATCAAAGTTAAACAATGTTTCTATTCTCCTCTAAACACTGCTTGCCTGTGGTTA